GTTTATTTACCCTAGAATCTAGACCTTTATTTTTGTTTTCCATTGGTGTTTCTTTAGTATGTTGCTGGGTATGCGAGTTAGTCGCATTCCCCGCTAGTTTGATCACTCATCGAAGTCTGTAAATTGCATTGTAACTAAACATAACACATAATCATTATCTTCCCCCTCCCCCAAATGTGGAATGCAGCGCGTCCAACATTTTTGAATCTCAATTTGAACTTGAACACATTGAGAATTGCGCCAACAAAACGTATGTGGTTTGTCTAGCTCTAAGCGAAGAGTTTTATCTGCAAAGAATCAGTATATTGACCATGACATTCTGATATTTCCACAGCTTCCCCAGCTACAAGCAAGCTGCTGGGCATGCGCATGACCACGCTGCACGAGGAGCCTCTGGGTGGGCATAAATCCCTGGACGAGGAGCCGGAGGACAGCTATAGCGACTCGGAGTACGCCGCCGAGTACGAACAGGAGCGGCAGCAGAACAAGAGCCTGGCCACGCGGTCCCGCCTCACGGCTTCCAAGACCATGGACTCATTCATGGACGTCAGCAGTCATTCGAATCAAAACTACTTGAGCTACACGTCCAGTGCCAACACAAACATGAAGCATCTGACTGGTCTGGCCACGCTGAGCATGAGCTCTTCCACCAGCAGTGGCTACGGTTCTCAGGCTGTCTCCTGCAATAATCTGAGCAACGAGGACATAGCTTCTATGCGTTCCATGAGCATTGATGAGACGCCAGGTGAGTTATTACTCGTTGATAGTTTCTAACAGGTGATTATTATTAATTTACCCCTTAGATTTCGATCGAGTCAACTCGAATTCGCCACCGAACCGGCAGGCACGAGTGAATCCCTTCCTCAAGGACATGCCCAAAGCCAAAACACAGGAGCAACCAGAACCGCAGGCCAAGCAGCTGCAGGAGACCTTCACGCATCCGTTGGAGCAGCTGGAGTCCCGGGAAAACGCACAAAGTGACGAAGATGAGCGCGAGCAGCTGCCAAAGAACAATAACAACAACGTGGAAATGGTCAAGGAGCCGGAGCAAATCTCCAGACAAACGGAGCTGGAGGATGCTGAGCCACAACCCGAATCACAAATAGAGCTTGCCACAGACAATCAGAACGGCAACAGGTCATCCGATGAGCTGAGCCACAGCTCCGAGGAGCTGCTCGAAGGCGATGGCATCGTCCGGGAGGAGCTGCCCGCTGGAAAGGTAGTGCGGCGCAAGAAGTCAAACACCCAGCCTCCGAGCAATGGCAACAGCAATAACAACAATAATAACAGCACAAGTCAGGCGCCGCGCATCAATCATCGGGCATCGGTGGCCAAAATGGAAGGTCTGGCCGCGTACATGGACTCTAGCATCATGTCCAGCAGCACAGAAGTCGATGGTGATTATCTTATTAAATAATAAAACAAGCTCCAGTTCCAAATTGTCTAATGGCATATTTGCATACCCAATTTTTTCAGACGAAAGCAAAGATGTGGAAGTGATCCTGCCCGATTGGATAGTGGTGGGCGAGTCGGTGTTGATCCGACCGTACAATACCAGTGGCGTAATCCGCTTCGTGGGCACCACGGAGTTCCAGCCCGGCGCCTGGATCGGCGTCGAACTGGACACACCAACGGGCAAAAACGACGGCAGCGTGAAGGGCATTCAGTACTTCCAGTGCAAGCCCAAGCACGGCATGTTCGTGCGCTCCGACAAGCTGATGCTGGACAAGCGCGGCAAGGCGATGCGAGCCTACAAGGCCGCCGAGAAGAGCAACAGCATCAGCAAAGGTGAGTTAGATGGCATTGGAGATAAGTATTATTCACTGATATATATTGTTTTTGCAATGTAGAGATGAGTACCTCGATGACTGGGTCGATGACACGCTCGAAGAGCCGCGGCGATTCGCTAAACCTCTCGGCGCGCAAATGATTGTACCCCAAGTGTTCGCATCAGTTGCAGCGTTGGACTAATTGCAGGCAATCGACGGTGGCCACCAGTGCGGCAACCAGCCAGACGGCGACCTGCCACAGATTGCGTGCAACCAGCGGCGCTGCAGATGCGAACAGTCATGGCAAGAAGTGCTATGCCAATCGACGCTCGACGGCCTTTTAAGGCCGCCACCCAGGATGACAATGTCGAGGACGACGGAGGAGGAGCAACGAACAATGCGGAGCATAATCCACATGCCAACCATATTCTAGCTTACTTAACTATTCTCACACCATGCCGCAAATGAAATGCCGTACACTTAACCCCACGCTTCTCTAAGTAGTTTAAGGCGGTGTCTACAGCAGAACTAATTACTAATCTAGCTAAACTAAACGAAACGAATCGAAACTAAACTAAGCCGGGCAGTCGTTCGCGTAGTTGCAATACCTCGAAACCTTGGGCGAGATCGTAAAATTTAGCGACCCTTTGATTAATCTATGTGTGTATTAAGGCACTTCTGATTCCATTGTTTTGTGTTCGTGTAGTTAATTGTCGTTTATTGCTTTTCGATTTTTGAATGAAGCGCTTTACTGATATATATTTTTGTAATGGTTCTTTGCCTTTAGTTTAGTTCAATTGTTTTTGATATCAATGTGACTTTATGAGCTTATATTTTTAATTGTTATTGACTATATTCAATATATAAATCATTTGTATATATTTATAATTAAGATCTTGCAATAATTTCTTCTCCATGTTTCCTTTCCTGAGCTCATATTCTGTTTAGCGCATTTATATACAATTACCAATACAATACAATGTTAGTAATAATGAGAGCAACATATTCTATAGAGCTGCGTCCAAGCAATTGAAGCCTCCTAAGATGATCGCATCTTGGAACTTATTCCCCGATTAAGACGCTTCGCACCGGCGCAGTTAATCTGTAAATTGTATTATTTTGATGTGATGTATTTATAATTTCCCTTTATATATGCATATATATAAATAAAATTGATTTTATCATATATGTACCTCATTAATTATGATTTCTTTTATGTTATCACCCCGTCCAAAAAGTGCAATATAAGTGTTAGGATCTTTAAGTTGTATTTATCAATGTTGAAGGTTGTGCGACTATGTTTGTGAGGCGTTTTAAGTAACATTAACTGAACACCGAGCCACAAGCTGGTGTTTGTCCAAAAAAGCAAGAAAGCAATAATTGCATTGAATATTCAATTTTATGTTAAGATACTTTAATAATCGTACACGAAAAGGATTAAGTGTGGTCCCAAGAAAAAGTGCCGAAAGAGCATGGAAATGTGAATGATTAAATCGGGCACCGGCTGACGAACGTTTGTACGTAAAACCGGAAACGTATCCATCCATCCATCCAACCAACCAACATCCAAAGCACTCCAAAACTGAGTCTGAGATAAATTGCAATTTAAAAACAAACAATAAGAGCGATTTACACTTAGAAAAACCCAAAAAAGGAAACTGAAACTGAAATCCAACAGGAAACAGTTGGGACCCGTCAAAAGTCAAAACCCAACTGGAAGATCTACAGCCATTCATCCAGTGTATACAAACATAATTATACACCACTTATATATATATTAGGTATATATTTTCGAACTGTTTTTCTACTTGCGTAAAAGCGAAAAGCAACTACCAAAATATACTTGAAAATACGTCCAAAATTTAAAATTCAAGGTCAAGATACAACTACGATATATACTTAACACTGCATGGATATTCATGAATATAAATATAAATGGCATATTTACCAATGATAATCCTAACTGAAACAGAATTATTTAAATATTGAGTGCTCCCTGGGGGATTCCCAGATGCTAAATCCCAACCAGGGGGCATTTGCTGAGTATGTGTGTGCAATTTTGTAGACGCCATCGGTTGAGCATTGTAATTCGTAATTAATTTAATCACATGAATGTACATAGTGGGGCATTATTACCGGCAAAATCACCTCAAATTAACGCATTTAACTAGCGCAAATAATGGTCAACTAGAGGTTGATTGAGTAACGTAACGAAACCCCAATAGAAAAACGAAAGTTAGCAGCACATTGGGCTTTATTGTAAAATAGATCGAGATCCATAGTTGTAGACAGAGTGCATTGCAAAGAAATTAAGTAGCCGTAGAGATCGATTGGAACGCCGACAAATTAAATCGTACCTTGACGTTATTAAAGAATTAATCATATTTTTGTGCAATCTAGTGCAGTTCTCACGCAATCAGCCCAGCAAATAAAATAGTTTGCCATTGCATATAGCCTCTAGCGTAACGGAATGTTAGGCACACACATATTATATGGGATATAGAATCGGTAGATGGCCTTCAAAGCAGTTTACTTGTAAGTTTGCGCACTCTTAGAGCTTTTAGCACGGTCAACGAATAAATGTTATTACACCTCAATTATAGATCGACTCCATCAGCCGTTAAATAAACTAACCAAAGAGTTCAGCCACGAGTTAATGAATAAACTAAACCATATGCTAGATCTGCTTTATCATGATACACAAACAGACGCACGAAGCTAAGCCATTGTTGATGAATTTGGTTCGGTCGTTTTGTAAGTGCAGATAATCCAGTTGAGTTCACTTCTCACTCGTAGTTGCAAATACAGATCAGATTAGTATACAACAAAAAATAGGTGTCAGCAGCGGAAACCATAAAGATAATTTTAGTAATTTACAATTGTTTTACTCCAAATTAAGTATTTTAATGCAAAACACGCCAGAGAAATTAAACAACAAATACACGCGTAATCAGCAAATTTGAACAACTTCAACAAAACAAAACCAAAAGAAAATATGAAATATGTACTTATATCTATAAATACAAATATACAAACATGCAATGGATATTTTTTCAATGGAGTCGGCTTTAATTGCACAGCTGGGGGTTGAATGGGGACTTGTTGCTGCTGGCTCAACAAGCACCTACAGCTTTATTAGCCCTGAACTCGACCTTCAGACCATCACAACTGGTTACATTTCGCAGGGCCAACACCTTCGTCCCAGAGGGCAGTGACAAATGAGGCTACTGGTTATTTTGAAGATGTGCATCTTCCAGTCGGAAGTGTTTTATTCATGAAAACAAATGGCAAAATTGTTATGTTAGTAGATAAATGCTTACAACACTTTTAGTTTACAGTTTACATAGTTGGTTATTGCTGGAGACCCTCTCACGGGAGAGCTCTTCGGTGAATCCCCTGGCCATGGAATGCAATTGTTCCACACCCTGCCTTACATCCTTATGTGATCACATGAAGACTATATCATTTAAATAGGATGTTCCGACATTCTATCTTTACAACTTGCTATATTTATATTTATACACACACAAAGTACACAACACACAGTTAATTGTTATTAGCTTTCCAAATGACTCGTTTGCGTTTGATTTGCTGGGTTTGTTTCATTTTGATTTGATTCCATTTCATTTGATTTGATTTGCACTAGCTACCCCGTCCGTCTCATCTTAGTATACACGGTCAGTGTATAGAAAATATATAATTCTAGTATTCGATATTTACAGTGTTGTTCTGATTTGAATTCGAGTTCCGTTCAGTCGGCGTTAGTCAGAATCTCTCAGTTGGTTTGGTCCCCATCCCGTTTCCCTGCTCCTCCAAATCTCGTCAGTGCTCGAAGGTCCATCGCTGGGACTCGCTGTTGGGATCGCATGGCGCCACCTGGGCGTCGTCCATGCTCTTGAGGCCCTGATGGTCCAGGCACAGGCCCGTGTTGCTGTGGATGATGTGCTGGCGCTCGTATCGCCACTGCTCGTTGAACTCGTCGTTCTCCATGCAGGGCACCATCACCACCCGGTACGGTGGGGACTCGCTGTGCTGCACCGTCGCACAGCTCAGCTCGTTGCGCAGCACTTGCGAGTTGGTGAAGGAGAAGAGCTGCGACTTCTGCATCACCTTTCCGCACGGATACAAGCCGGCATTATAGGGCTTCTCGTTGTTCTGCAACAGATCGTCCATGCATATGTTGGCGCTCACCGCGTGCACCTTGCCCCAACCCTGCACATCATGAGTGGGCACAAACTTCTCCGGATAGATGTTCTTCAGGTACCACTCGAAGCTCTTGCAGCGGAGCTTCTTGCGCAGCATCGTTCGGTGGGTCACATCGCCAATGTCTGCGTGGAACTTGAGGTCCGGCCGATTGAGGAAGAAGATATTGATGTACTCATCCATCCACACAAGAGCCATGCGGGCAGTGTTAATGCCGTGAGTGTCGCGATCATTGGGGAATCTGAAAAGAATTTAAATGAGCCTATTAGAATACGGCTGTAGATAATGTCAGAGATCAAAACAATGTGTTCAGATATCTTGTATATACGCTTTGAAGGTCAATTTTAGCATAGCAGCGGTTGAGGGTCTTCTAGTTAAAATATAGTTTCTTATATCTTACTTGTAAGGATGGAAGTCTCTGAATATGTGTCCCACGCGGGAGCAGGGAATCGTCTCGATGGTGCCGCCGCACTGCCAGATGCGGAAGGACATCTCCAGGTTCTCGCCACCCCAGCCGTCCATTTGCTCGTCGTAGCTTCCCACTTCCCAGAAGTATCGCCGATCCATGGCGAACAGTCCGCCGGCCATGGTGGGACTGTAGGCTGGACAGATCTCCCGCTCGTGCTTGCACTCGCGTCGCTGGCGCTGCTTCTCCCGCTCCGGCAGATTGATCCAGTCAAAGTGGCCGTTCCACTGGAATCCGCCCACCTGGAAGGACTTGTAGCCATTGGTGCTGTACTGGAAGTCGTTGGCATCGATGACATCGATGATGGGCACCAGGACGCTCGTCCGGGACTCCTTGATCCGCTGCAGGAGTGGCTCGCACCAGCCGATATTGCCCTCGCAGTGGGCGTCCAGGAATATGAGTACATCCCCCGTGGCGATTCGGGCTCCGGCCAATCGGGCACGAATCAGACCCAACCTGAAACGAGAGAGGCAAAAACTTTCTTTAGCAATGTGAAGGGCAAAACAAAACAAATTTATTGGGTCATCCGAAAACCTTCGATCGTTTGCCAAGCACGATTAACACCATCCTACATGGCTTCAACGGCGTGAAGTCATCAGAAAGTCTGCAAAGCTCGCGGGCTGGCGAGTGTAATGCACGCAGAAACCAAGTCTGGGAATTACAAAAAGTCAAGCCCAACACACATAATCGTAACTTGACGAACTGGTTTTCTCTTCATTTTTTTCAGTTTTTAGTTTTTGGTCTTTTGAGCGTTTGTCGGTTCTGGCCAAAAAGAAGATGCTCCATGTGCCTCCGACATGGCAAACAAGTTATTCAAATGAGTTCAAGCCGCCAGCGATTCGATTAGCTGAATTGCTGAACTTTTCCTAGCTGGCTGGTAATAATGACAGTAATCTAGGTGTTTTGTTTTCACTTCTTTGCACCTTGCCTAGTTATGAATTGAGAATTTATCTCAAAAAACTTAATTTACTATAGTATATACTAGGCAAGAAAATGTGTTAAAAATATGATAAGTGTTAGGAAATTGTATCTCATAAGATCGAATCGCTTGCTTTAACACATTAAATTTGCATATATCAAAGGTCATGTTAATAAATAAGCCGTTCTACTCGGTTTTAGATATAAACGCTATTGATATATTTGCGTCACTATCATAACTATTAATTATTATTAAGGCTTTTAATCTTTCAAACACACTTTGATAAGCACCTTTCACTTTTGTTAAGTTTTTACTCTCGATATAATAAACGTTAAACTCCACAAATTTCATGAATGTATGTATAATTTACAACAAATAGAATTTTGGAATATTGGTTGTACATATATTAACTGCATAATCAATTTATATTATCTCAATTTTTGTTGTATTAATTTATTCATGGAATCCACGTTGTAGAATATTATATATTTTCTTGATGAGGTTGGGGCCAGCACAAACATATAACTAAATGATTCATTATTGTCAAAATAGGTCGCTCAACTTGGATGTTTTTTATCTCTACGATCTTTAAGTCGAACATCAAAAATTTGTGACAACGTTTTACTAAAATCTTTTAATTAATTTAAAAAAAGATTTCCTATGAAAAAATGTTTAATCTAGATTGTAAAAGTTTCGGATGTTTTAAGTGAATTACTTTTGTTGGTTCCCCTTATCATCTGGTTAACTCACCGGTTCTTAAGCCGCAGCACAGTGACCTTGCCGGCGGGAGTCCTTGTGCGAACGTAGTAGTCCAGCTTGGCGCCGAGTTCCACATTATCGCTGCCGTCGTCCACCAGGATGATCTCCTTGAGGGCCTTCTCGTTGCAGGTGCTCAGAGTGCTGTGCACAGTTCTCAGGAGCACGGAGTAGGGTTCGTTGAAGAAGATGATGACCACACTGGCGCTGGGCAGGGATCCATCATCGTAGCGCTGCTTGGCACACAGGGGATTGCGGTGGTCACCGACACTCCGGTTGTAGGTCAACTGCTCGCTAAGCTCCTCGTTCAGGGCAATCTTCTTGTAGATGGCATCGCCTCGCTCCTTGGCGGCGCCCGAGAGATGCACTGCCACGCCCTGTTCGCCGAGACCCACTTTCTGTTTCTGGAGATCCAGCTGGATGATTTGTTCGTATGGCGACTGGGTGGCGGGTCGCGCAATCTCGTTTTCACTATCGCTGTAAGCTTCGAACCGGTCGCGTCCATGTCCGCGTAAAGCGGCCACCCGCGCAGGTGGGGCCACCTGCTCCTCCGGAGATCCATTCTGCTGCACTTTACTGTAGAGGATAAAGCACAGGGCGACCAGGATGAAGATGATAAGCTTGCCGTAGAAGGAACGGAACCGAGGCAGCATGTTGGGTTGGTTTTATATCTGCTGGTTGGGATTGGTGGGTGTGGGTTCTGGTTTGTTGGGTTATTGAGGTAGCCCTAGGTAGCTCCACGCAGAAGTGGCTCTCCAGCTCGGATCGCAAGCCTCCGAATGCCGATGGTTTGTCCACTACTCAATCATTTAGCTCTGCGTCGATGGCGAAAATACAGACACATATGTTTCGTGGCTTTATGTTCGCCCACAATTCCAGTTTCTTCTCGTTTTCCGTTGAGCGCCGCGCACCGCCGCTTTGTGGAGTGCCTTAAACTAGACTAAATGGAAATATTAATTCTAAGCGCGACTGCCACAACAATAAAAACAGCAACAATAAAAAAAAACCCAAAAAAACGTACTCTGCATGTTTTTTATACGCTGTTGCTTCTCTTCAGTGTGACCGCGCGAAAGCAAAATAAAGAAGTGCTAGCAAAAAGTGTGACCCGCCGCGGGTACAGTGGGCCAGAAAGGTAAGATTTGTAGCATAAACAAAGATAACATTCCAAATTAAATTTTAAAAACTATTTGGATATTCCCCCAACTGAATAATGATTGAGTTTTAGCCAGATGTTTCATACAATTTCAACTTTGATAGATTTTAGCATTCAACAACATCTAAGCTGATAAATTGTTGAAAATCAGAGTTGCCTATCTCTTTTCCTAATGAAGTCATGGCAGTACCTATAACAGTACTACCAAAAGCATTATTTACTACAAAATTAAAATAGGTTTTAGTTAAATACGTATTTAGTGAAATTTTTGTATTTTGTATTCCAGTGTGAGGTGGAACACTTGAGTAGTCAGGTTAGAGAATATGGAGTATAACTCGGATATACATTGAGCAAAGACAGTTTTGAACGAAATGTCTGGCAGCACGGGATAGTACTATTTTCGCAGCTCTGGCAGCACCATTTTTTCTGTTTGGTTCAGCGATAAGTCTAAATAATTTTTACCGGTTTTAATTTTAAGAGATAGGGCAAATTAAGAACTTATTTTTTTTTTAATCTAATTTAAAAAGAGTCAAAATATAGTTTGTCCCTTTAATGTTTTCGAAAAAAACCTTTGAAGTTTAAGTTCTGCCATCAGAAAAAATTTTTTTGATTCTTGTAAATACTTACCAAATATATAGTAAGAAAGCTAGCAATCAATCGGTAAATAAATTAATATTTACGAACAATACTCATTACTAGAGCATGATTAACTTGTCGGGCGCAGTAACTGGCATTATGGCTGGTTATTTTATGTGTGAACTTAAAATTCATAGTTATAGCCAACGAGCACGCCAAGCCCCCCTCCCTCCGCACATTCTGCCCTAGTTGTCACATCAATTACTTAAAAGAGAGGAAATTTAAATCAAATACTTCCTGCACTCGAGTACCGTTAAAAGCAAAAAAAAATGGAAAGGGACTGACCGACTGACTGCCGCGCACTTGACACTTTTGGCGGCACTTAATGCACAAATGGCATGTTCATTTGTTGTTGAAGCGAAACAAATGGGTTTCCTATTAAAAACTTGTTGCTACGCCTTTTGGCCCAAACATGCGACCACATGTTGCCAATGTCTGGCTTAAATCTCATTTTAATTCTTATTAAGTTTGGTTCTCATCGCAACTTTCATTTTGTAATGCTTCGAATTGATGCCAACAAGTCTGTCCCCGTTTTTCGGAGGTCTGTGATTAATTTACCTAATTAACGTACGAATCTTAACTGCGAGTTGGTGTTTTTTTAGTTTTTTTGAATGCGAGCTCTTGGGCCGCATAATTAATACGTTACGTATACGCATTGGTGTCGCTGCGGGAGGCGCCACAGGCCAGATCAGCGACCCAGCAGCCAAATTAAAGTTCAAAGTGCTCCAAAGAGGCATGGTAATTGGAGTTTTCGGAGTCGCCGCCTTTGTGGGAAGCAACCGTTGAGCCGCTGAAAGGTGGCAACTGTTTTGCCAATCTTCGCCAAAAACTCCCTAATGGCTTTGAGCGACAAAAACTAGGAAGGAAATAAATTACTTTGCAGTCTGGGCACAGTAGGATGGACCTGCTGCTTGGCGGGGGCCTTTGTTTTAGTTACCGAAAACCCGAAAGACAGACTAAAAAGAGGGGGACGAGATTTTGGAATCTCATTTCGTGTGCGACCTCAAAATACTAGTTTGTAAAAATGCAACAAATCCGGCATTGAAACAGATTAGTTTCTTTGGTCGAAAAAATTAACACCTCTTAAATTTGAAATACTCTTTTATTAACGCCACCGAAAATTATGCATTTTCAGCACATTTGTGAAATGCTTAATGGCCTGAGGTCGAATTAGTTGGCTCTTAAGTGTTATGAGCCGCAACCGGATTGAAAACCAAGCCGCCGTCGAGGGCCCGCAAATACGTTTGTGTAAATAGCAGAAGTGCTCGATAAATAATTTTTTAAAATTACTCTATTCAATAACGAGGGTGCCTGAAGCCCCCCAACGAGGTCTCATTAATGTGCGCACAATAAAAAAAAGGGTTAAAAACAACAAGCGAAAAACAGTTTAACCGCTGCCCAGACACATTGTTACACATGTGAGCCGACTGCGGTTAAGGTGCTGGCCATAATGACTCGGGCCGCAGAAATCTATTAAATCTAAATGACCCTGAAGATCACACACAGGCAGCCAAGAAATGGTCGACTAACGATCACCATCCATCAATGGAAATGGGCAGTCGACGGCGGATAATAAGGGAATTGGGATTGGGATTGCAATTGAAAAATGCCTGCCATAGATTTTACGGATTATGGTCGGTCGTCCGTCTGCCACTTTCGTTTCGTTTCGCTCCGAAAGCCTTTGCAAATGTCAAAAGGTTGGGCAATCGCGATGATTGCGTTGAGATTTCAACAGCGCCAGAGGATGAGCACAGGTCAGATCTGATCGGTTTTTATCGGATCAGAGCTGGAGCAAGTCCACGACTTCCCATGACAAATTGATCAGCCTGGGAAGCGTAATGATGCCACATTATCATACGTTTTCGAGCGTGATTTATGATCCAGTTTTTGAGCGATTTTAAAGGGGAACTTCGTTTACAACTAAATCGAAAGTGAAAGATTTCACGATACTGGCTTGGCAATGACAATGCCAAGCCATTGTCTCACCCACTATAGCGCATTGGGGGTTAACCAGTTACCCAATCCCCGATTCCCAATCCCCTGGTTCCCAATTCGGAATTCCAATTTCAATTCCAGTGCCCTAGGTCCAATCAGCACGCGTCAAAAGTGGCGCCAAAGTGACGATCAAAAAATATGATTTGGATTCAATATGCACAAACTAAGGCGGCTTTATGGCGGTAGCAATTCGGGGTTTTGCATAATCCCCGGTCCCTGCTGAGACACCCGCATTGTCGTCTGTTTATGGTTACATTTATGTAAGAGCCAATCATGCGAGATGTCATCAAATATTTGGCCAGTTCATTGGGTCGACTCATCATATCTGGTGGAATGCACATTTTGAGGGGGTTTTCACAATCGCATCACAGATGGACAGATATAGATACGTCCGCTTGTCTTTTAAAACCACATCAAAATCAATATCGCGTATCGATCAACATCCAAAATTGAGCATTGTCTCAATGTTCGCAACCTCTGAAGTGATGATTCGGATCCATTTGAATAACACAGCGCCAACAATAACCACTGCTTCTCCATATCCGCTATCATTTATTGTGCGGAGGTGGCTAATCCCAATTCAACATTTCTTTGTTTGTTTTATGGCTTTGAATGGAGGTTAAGCGGAATAAGTTTAGCCACGCTAGCGAAACTTTTTAATTAAATTCAGTATATGTTGCAAAATATTGTGAGTCAAAAAAATTTAATTGAATTTGTGAAGATTAACATATTAATTTTGGATTCTTAACCACATGGATTCCCTTAGGCGTCTCCAGAAACCTTTCGATTCCGAAATCTCAAACACAAAGCAGCAGCAACTGATACTCAGTCCAAACGCATACATGCCAAAAACCCAGTGCAAGTTCTTTACTTCGATGTAATCATCTACTCGGTATGTGGCGAGATTTAGTTTTAGCATGTTTAGGAAACTCCAATCGATCCAGAGCTTGGACAGGCCAAACTCCTTCTGCAGCAGCATGTGCTCCTCGAAGAGATCACGATAGGGCAGATGACGTCGCACGGGAAAACTGAAGAAGGCAAAGGAACTCAGACAGATGGAATCGGAGTAGTAGAACAGGGAAAATCGGTTTACCTTCGAACAGATTAATTTTTATATATTTTCGTTCTTAAAAAATGCGACAGGAATGGACTACCCCAAACAGATCAAAGTGCTCCTTTTTCTTGTAGTATTCGCAAATAGTCTCCTCTTTCTCAGCTTGAAATTCACAACTGAGTATCAGACTGCTGAAATTCCAATCAAAGTTAGTGCTTCCGGACGATACTTCGATAGTACGATACGGGCAAACTTGAGAATAGTGAAGGAAAAACACAATCCTGTCCATAGATTAACAAGGTTTCGTACACATTTTCTAGTTGCAATTTTCGGAGAAGACCTAATAATCGCTCCTCCAGTTGTAAGGGCCTTTCAACGGTTATATCCAAAAACTGAGCCCTTGACTGCCCAAGGCAAAAAAAGGAGAATAATGAACCAAACCATGGTTCTAATGTCACTGTTGGAAATGCCTTGCGTTCCTCACATTTTGTAGACTACACGCCTCTGATGTGTCTGCCTAAATATTCATTGGGTATGCCTTTATTATGTATCTCACATTGTGTTAAAATGGCTAGAAGTTCAAGGACCATGCAAGTAGTAATTGTTTAATATTTATAGTTTAATGGGGCTAGCGAATGAATAAACGGTTTAGAATGTTAAAATATACAATATGATAATATAGTTTTTAACTATGAGCCTTTTTTAATGCGCAATTTATCGATCTATAATAGAGGCAACCTAAAGTGTAAGTATCTACCAATAAAGGTGCCAGACTTAAAAGATCCATTTTGTTAGCTTTGCAAATTATTAACTTTATTCAGCTTAAGAGGTGAAGTGTTATTAAAATACAATGCAAAGGTTTAATTAAAGATCTGGTAAAAAGGATTTTAATTTTAAGCCCTTTTCCGCAGATGTGTGTTAAAGCGTCTCACGCAGCTTGGAGATCCCAAAAACTCGATGGCAAAACACCAGCAACTAATGCCTAATCCAGTTCCAAACATGACTAAGGCCCAATAAAGATCGTCTAGATGCATTTTATCATTCAAACGTGGTGGACTTAAGTCCTCAAACGGCGTAATCTTCAGCCTTAGCATATCGGCGAAGCTGCGATCAATCCAGTATTTCGGGAGTCCAAACTCATGCTGCCGCAGGATGTGCTCCTCGAAAAGATCGCGGTAGGGCAGGTGGCGTCTTATGGGAAAACTGAAGATGTCGAACAGATTTAGGCAGAGTGAATCTGAGTAGTAGAATAGCGGATATGCGAAGAGCTTCTGTTGCTCCTTGAAGGTGCTCCAGCGCACACTGGTCACCGGGTAGATATAGTCGGTATTAAAGGTGTTCCGGAAGTACGAGAATTGGTTGGAGTTATCGAAGATCTTCAGCTGCTTCTCGCAAAGGTTAAATCGTTGCAGCATAAGCATTTCGTACGAGGATATGGCCACCTTGAACCGGGTCTTCTCCAGATCGCCAAAGTTATGTAATCTCGGCTGAAGCGGAGGATTGCAAAAGAGGCTCTGCAGGTAAGCCGTATACATGGTGGTGGTCATCAGGCTGGAGAAGCAAACATTCAAACAGATTAGTTTTAGTATTCTGCTAGAATGCCGGGGAAAAGGAAACGGTTGACCCAAAAATCCCCTCAAACTCTTGTCGTTTAGCAGTACACTGGAAAGGCTCAGACCGCGCCACGATTTTTGCTGAGTGTAGATTAGAAGCAGCGAGAAGATGCAGAATATAATAAAGAGCACGGCGAGGACGGGGGGATCTATGATTATCATGTAGATCTTGCTATCCGGCACCACATCCGGAATGGGAACCATGAAGCAGTGGGAAGTCATCAAGTACGGATAAGAAAGTGTATCGAAGTTCGACTTTTCCCAGGATGTGGCCTCGCTCATGCCAATATCGAGAAGATCCTCCGAAGCCCACTTTGAAATGTTCTCAAAAGATATTTTTGTTCCGGCCTCAATTAATTTCACCTGCATATCCATGGTAGCGTTAACTTTCTGGACGAAGTGCCTTATCAAATTTGCGACGAAGCCGATAATTTTCTCTTCACCTGTTTTCGCATCGCGGTAAACCATGGATCGTGGGGGTGCCATGTCTGAGAGTGTTCTGATCGGAGCTCCATGCATGTTTCGAAATTGTTCTTTGAAAATCGTTTTATCTTCAAACAGATTAATTTTTTCATATTTTCGTTCTTGAAAAATGCGACAGGAGTGGACTACCCCGAACAGATCAAAGTTTTCTTTTACCATGGCGATATTATACTGCTCCTTTTTCGTGTAATAGTCGCAAACAGTCTCTGGTTGAATATTTTCGCTGAGAAGGATTAGACGTCTGCTATTTTGCAGCTTTATTAGTGTACGATAGTTTTCCTCTCTCTCAGCTTGAAATCCACAACTAAGTATCAGTGTTAGACTGCTGAAATTCCAATCAAAGTTAGTGCTTCCAGACGATACTAGTACTGTGGATACTGGCAAACTTGTGAATAGTGAAGGAAAAACACAATCTTCTCCATAGATTAACAGAGTATCGTACATCTGTTCTATTTGCAATTTTTGGAGAAGACTCAATAGTCTTTCTTCTAGTTCCGAATCTTTGTAAACGGTTAAATCCGAAATCTGAGCCAATGAATTCCCAAGGCAGAGAAGAACGATAATGAACCAAACCATGGTCCTAATGTGACTATTGGAAAAATCGGGCTTTTCTCACATTTTGTATTTTAAAAGCTTATGAGTTGTCCACTAAAATCGTGGTAAGGCATGCCATTCTTGTGTTCTATCTTTGTGTTAACATGGAAAATTGATATGTTTCCTAGGGTTTTTAAAAGTTAGATTTAAAAGATAATGGTATAAAGCTTATTAAATCCTTAACTTTAGGATCTTTTCATGTCTGGTTCTTTGTCTGCCCGTCCATATAAAGTTATTAAAGATTTCGGGAATGATAAGGTTGATAATGGTATTGTTTATGGACATGTCTGACTAGTTGGATTTTTTAAAAACCTGGACACATTAATAATGCAGGCCACATCGAAAGGATATATTATAGTCGGGGAACTCTTTTTTCCAACCAAAAGTAAGTGATCCATACGTCTGCGTTCGTTATTCGAAAGCAACAAAAAACATTAATTCCTTGACTGGTTGAGCCGTATTAATTTTAATATGCTAGTAAAAAAAATTTATTGATTTAATACAAGGCAAAGTTCAATAAAAGTTTTGGAGATAAAAGTAATAATTTTAATTCCTTTTTCAGGAATTTAATTCCTTTAATTGTAGCTTCTCTTGCAGCTTAGAGATTTTTAAAGCTTAATCCAGATGTCGCGATAGAACAGATGACTTCCTATTGGGAAGCTCAAGATGAGTTCTTCAGGACTTTCTTAGCGTAATATTAACGTTCACCTTCTCAACGAAGTCGATGCAACGAATCCGAATCTGATATACTTCTATTAACGTGTCTTCGGATCCTAGTAAACCATGTATTGTGGTGGTCCGAAAGTGTTTTGATCAGAGTTCCGTGTATTTTGGCAATTCGGTTTAACTTTGAATAGATTTAGTTCTTCATAACCATGGCTATATCAATTTGACATTTTGCATACACCTCTTTTTTGAAATAGTAGCCACATACATTTCCTGGTTGAATATCCTCCTGAAGAATGCTTTGTCGTTTGTTGGTTTATGGTTCTTCATTATTATGAGGGAAATTAAGCGATATATTGTTTTGGTTATTTGCCAACTGCCTTTGTTAATTCCTCAGTTCACGCCAACGCAGCCACTTTTCTCCTCCTATTTCAAACAAGAAGCAGCAAATGCTTAGCACAGTGGCAGCCAGATAGATTTTCAGTATCCATGAGATATCATCCAATAATATACTTGGGCTAATTGTTTTTGGGCGACTTAGGTCCTTGAGCGGTGTTAGTCCCAATCTAACCATATCGAAAAAGCTGTGGCTCCTCCAGTGACTCACCAATCCAAACTCCTGCTGCCGCATCATGTGCTCCTCGAAGAGGTGTCGATATGGCAGATGTGCCCGGAGGGGAATGGACATATAGATGAGGCGGGAAAAGCAGAGGTCCCTTGCGAAATAGAAGACTGGGTCCTTGAAGAGCTCCTGCTGCTCCGCATAGGCACTCCAACGATCTCCCGTCACCACAAAACTGTAGTTAAGATTGAAGGCATCTCGCAGCTTAGCGTACTCCGGCAAATTGTCAAAGATTATCAAGGCATCTTTCTGAATTTCTTGGAAATATGAATTATTGGTCTTGATCAGAGCTTCAATCTCAATCGATGGCATTGCAATCTTTGGTTGATATTTACCAATGTCCTGGAAGGAGTGAATTTTGGATTCAGATGGGGGATTCGTAAAAAAAGATTGCAGATAAGCCTCATACATAGTGGTCATCATAATGCTGGCGAAACAAAGTATGCAAAATATTAGTCTCAAATGTTTTCCTGCATTGGAGGGAAATGGAAAAGATTGGCCTAAAAGGCCACGAAGGCTTTTGTCGTTTAACAGGATGTTGGCCAGGTTTAGGTCCTGCCAGGACATTTTCTTACTATATATTAGAAGTATGGAGAGTAGGCAAAACAGGGCGAAGATAATGCCGAGCACTAGACGATCCACAATCATAGCATATACCATATTGTATGGCAATTTGGCTGGAACCTGAAGCATTAAGCAGTACGATGTCAGAATGTATGGATAGCTGGATGTTTCAAGGATCGCCGTTCGCAATGAGATATCCAAAGTAGTGCCAATGTCAAGCTGTTCGTTTTCAACCATTTTTAATATTTCCCTCACAATGAATTTATTGTTCAAAACTTCCAATTGCAGTGTAGCATTCACTTTCTGAGCGTAATTGTTTATTAAATTGGCTACATAACCCATCATCTGCATATCACCGCTCTTTGCATCTAGATGAATCATGGAACGAGGGGGTAAAAGATCCGCCACTGTTCTGATAGCTTTTCCATGCATATTTCGAAAGTTTTCAATATAAATTGGTTTTTCATCCCATAAACTTATTTTTTCAAAGTTGGGATCTTCAAAGTACCGACAGGCGTATATAACTCCCAACTTATCGAAATGTTCTCGCACCATGGCTACATTGTGTTGCTCCTTTTGTGAATAGCTATTGCACACTGATTTTGGTTGGATATTTCGTTGCAAGTATATCAGACGCCTGTTTCGTTGCAACTTCATCAGAGTTCGATAGGTCACCTCTCTCTCTGCGTCGGGGTCACAGCTAAGTATCAGGGTTAGACTGCTGAAGTTCCAATCGAAATTAGTGCTACCTGAGGACACCAGCACTGTGGAGACATCCAAACGTCTGGATAGGGAATGTAAAACACAATCCCCTCCATAGACAAGCAGCGTGTCGTAAAATTCCTCCAGTTTCAATCTCTGAAGGAGACTCAACAGACTTTCCTCTAGGCTTGGGTCACTTTTATTGAGTATATCCATTACATGGGCTCCAGAGTTCCCAATGCACAAAAGCAGGACAATCCACCACGCCATGGTTTTCTATGTAACTGCGAGAACTTGTGAGCTTTCCCCACATTTTGTACTTTTAATATACATGAACTGTTTGAATGACATGCACTTTCCATGTTTCACGTACGGTGTTAACCTACTGGGAGGTACAAACCTATGATTGGGCAATTAGCGAAGGCATTAAACATTCATAGCGAATATAAGAGGGGTTAAATTGTGTGGGTGTTTTATTGTTTTATGTCAATCACATACAAATTAATAACATATATCAATTAAAGTCCAAAATCTTTCGATACCATTGAATAACACCGTATAATTTGGTCTTGCCATTAAAATTGTTTAATATAACAAAGCTTTTTGAAATGTGAGTTACAAAATGTAATAAAATCCCTTAAGATTAGGATATTAATTGGTAGCTCTTCTCCATCTATAAGTTTTTAAGCGGCTCCAGAAACTTATGGATCCCATTATCTCCAGGGCAAAGCAAACGCAACTGATGCCCAATGCAAGTCCATACAAGCCCCAAACCCAGTAAAGATCATCCACGTCGATGGCCCATCCGTCTTCAGGGTCGCTAAAATCCGTGTAAGGAGTGAGACCCAGGCTTAACATGTCCAAGAAGCTGTGGTCGATCCAGTGATTCAGTAGGCCAAACTCCTTCTGGCGCAGGATGTGCTCCTCGAAGATGTCGCGGTAGGGCAAATGGCGTCTTATGGGGAAACTCAAGATACTATAGCGGCTGAGGCAGAAGTCATCTGAGTAGTAGAATATGGGATGGTCGAACAGCTTCTGCTGCTCATTGTAGGTGCCCCAGCGAATACTGTTCACCGGAAAGATGAAGTTCCTATCAAAGGACTCTCGCAAGCGCACGAATTGGTAGTAGTCCTCGAACATCTGGATCTGGTCATCGCTCACCTTCTGCAACTTATGGGTGTCCTTGAAACGCAGCATTTCCATCTCGACCCAGTTCATGGCCAACTTGTACCTGGACTTTTCCAAATCGCTGAAGGTATGCATCATCGGCTCGGGCGGTGGACTATATAGGAAGGACTTCAGGTAAGCCTCGTACATGGTGGTTACCATTAGACTAGCAAAGCAGAGAAGCAGGCATATAAGCTTTAGTTTCTTACTGGATTGACGGGGAAAGGGAAACGGCTGACCCAAAAACCCCCTTAAACACATATCGTTCATCAAGACGCTGTACAGACTCAAATTGCGCCAGGACTTTTGCTGTATGTAAATTAGTAGCAAAGAAAATATGCAGAATATAACAAAGAGTACAGCCAAGACTGGGATATCTATGATCATCCCGAACACATCCCAGTACGGCACTTTATCCGGAAGAGGAACCATGAAGCAGTAGGAGCACATTAAGTACGGATACGTGAACGTATCAAAGTTGGCCATTTCCCATGTGGTATCGATGCTCATGCCAATATCCAAAAGATCGTTTGCGGTCCATTTCGAAATATTCACAAAGAATACAGTGCCATTGACCTCCGCCAATTCCACCTGCATGGCCATGGTGGCGTTGACCTTTTCACCGAAGTTGTTCAGCAAGTTGGCCACAAAGCCTATCCACTTCTTCTCACCGGTTTTTGGGTCCTGGGTAACCATGGATCGAGGGGCCAAGTTGTCCGTGATTGTCCTAATTGGAGCTCCTTGCATGTTTCGAAACTGTTCTATGAAAATAGGTTTTTCTCCAAATAGAGTCACTTCTTCATAATTTGGATCTTGAAAGAAGCGACAGGAGTAGACTACCTCGTGCTGATCAAAGTTTTCTTTTACCATAGCTATATTATACTGCTCCTTTTTCGAGTAAAAATCGCAAACGTTTTCGGGTTGAATATCCTCTTGAAGAATGATTATACGTCTGTTTGTTTGTAGCTTTATCAGTGTGCGATAGTTTTCCTCCATTTCGGCTTGGAACCCACAACTGAGAATCAGTGAGAGACTGCTGAAATTCCACTCAAAGTTGGTACTACCAGAAGTCACAAGCACTGTGGATACGGGCAAAAGTCTGGATAGTGAATGGAAAACACAATCCTCTCCGTAGACAAGCAGGATGTCATAGAACTTCTCCTGTCGCAGTTTTAAAAACAGTTGAAGCAAACTTTTTTGTAGGCGATGTTCGCTGGGAGCGGAGATGTTTGGGAACTGGGCTCCAATCTGTCCCAGACAGAGGAGGAAAACGAGCAACCAAGCCATGGTCTTCACTCAGACTGGTAAAATACAATGAATGTTATATCCTTTTATCTAGACAATTTAAATAGTTTTCATGTTTTGTAAGTGCTATCAAGTTCATGTTCGTTTTGTAAAAAAAAATATATTGTAGAAATGTCTGTTAGTTTTGTTTGCATTTTTCGAGACCTTCAGCACGCACTTTCAATGTTTCGTTCCTGTTGTTAACATTCGTGGAAATGGTACAATTCAAAACTATGAACATGCATCGGCCAATTAAAATGTAAAACTCTTGAAGCTTATTAATTCTAAAATCTTAATTGCTTGTCAAAACGGAAAATTTTGAAAAATGTAGTTGGTTAAAAGGATATTCTGTAGTATATAGTTTTGAAGTTGAAAAGGACTTAGCAGAAGGAAATATTATTAGTAAATTTAAATCTATAGTTGTTTAGCTGTTTTCATGCAGCTTAATGAAAGTACGGTATGATTTTTCCTAATAGAAAAATACAAACCTCTCTCAAACGGTACAGGGTATCATACAATTCTTTCAGTTGTAATCTGAGGAGAAGAATTAAATATCTGTTCCCTAAGTCTATTTTCTCCTTTACGGTATATTCGAATAATTGATATATTATCCTTTTATTCCCAAAGCAGAGAACAAAGATAACTATCTAGCCTTGGTCTACACCACCCAGTTGGAAATCTCGTGATTCCATTTTGTTGGTTTGACATGTCATGTTTCTGCAAGTGTTAGTGCTCAACACGTGATTGGGTTGAATTAAAAATGCATTTATTTAAATGGGTCAACAAAACTGCTATTTAGAAGGTTTAGAGATAGTTTGTAATGATTTCAAAGAAGTCCTTACATTTTAATTTCGTAGTTCACGCCAGCGCCTCCACTTATCTGCACCTATTTCAATCAAGAAACAGATAGTGCTGAGTGAAATGGCTGCCAGATAAAGTTTTAGTATCGACGAGATATCTTCCATTAACAGACTGTCATCGTACGCTTTGGGTTGACTAAGGTCTTCGAGAGGTACTAGGCCCAGTTTGACCATGTCGAAGAAACTGTGGCTCTTCCAGTAGTTCACCAATCCGAACTCGTGCTGCCGCATCATGTGCTCCTCGAAGAGATGTCGATATGGCAGGTGTCTGCGCAGGGGAATCGACAAAAAGAGTAGTCGCGAAAAGCAGAGGTCCTTCGCGATGTAGAAGAGTGGCTCCTTGAAGGCTTTCTGCTGCTCCGCAAATGAGCTCCAACGATCTCCCGTAACTAGATAGCTATAGTTTAGGTTGAACGAGTCACGTAGTTGAATGTAAACCCTCCAATCCTCAAAGATTCGTAGGTCATCTTTGGGAATTTCGCGAAATGGTGTGTTGTTGGTGTTGGTCAGCGCAATTACCTCAATTGTTGAGATGGCAATCTTTTGGTTAAATTTTCCAAAGTCCTTGAATGAGTGAATGTGAGGTCCGAATGGGGGATCTGTGAAGTATGATTGCAGGTAGGCGTCATACATGGTGGTCATCATGATGCTGGCGAAGCACAAGATCACAAAGATTATCCTTAGGGATTTGCTGGCATTTAAAGGAAACGGATGTGATTGACCCAAGAGCCCTCGCATTGTAATATCATTTAGAAGTATATTAGAAAGCTTCCAAGCTCGCCATGACATATTTTCACTATAAACCAGGAGCATGGAGAGCATACAAAACATCACAAAGATAATGACCAGGACTAAGCGATCCACTATCATGGCATATACCATATTATATGGCAGCTTGGCTGGAACCTGAACCATTAGACAGTAGGTAGTCAAAAGCAACGGATAACTGGCTGTATCAAGGGGTGTTTCATGTATACACGTCTCTAATGTAGTGCCAATGTCAATCTGATCTGCTTGCACTTTTTTTAAAATATTCCTTATGCTAATATTTTTTTCTAGGAGCTCAAATTTCATGGTGGCATTTACCTTCTCTACAAAATTGTTTATTAAATTAGACACATAGCCCTTCAACTTAGTTTCACCAGATTTTTCATCTATATATAGCATTGACCGAGGAGCTAATAGATCTGTGATTGTCTTTATAGGTGCTCCGTGCATATTTCGAAAGTGTTCAATATAAATGGGTTTCATGTCCGATAAATGTACTTGTTCTATCTTGGGATCTGGAAAGTAGCGACAGGCGTATATATATTTTGAGGTATCGAAGTCCGGTCCCACCATGGCCACATTAAATTGTTCCTTTTGCGAATAGCTATTACACACGGACTCTGGTTGGATGTTTCCTTGAAGGTAGATCAGTCGCCTGTTTCTTTGCAGCTTCATAAGAGTACGATTGGTGACCTCTTTTTCTGCTTCGGGATCACAGCTAAGTATCAGGGTTAGACTGCTGAAGTTCCAATCATAGCTGGTGCTCCCAGAAGAAACCAGCACTGTGGAGACATTCAAGAGCTTGGATATCAAATGGAAAACACAATCCTCGCCATAGACAAGCAGGGTGTCAAAGAACTCTTCCTGGCGCACTTTTACAAAAAGCTTAAGCAATCTTTCTTGAAGCTCGGGTTTGTTTCGAGCGGAGATATCCGGGAACTGGGCTCCAATCTGTCCCAGACAGAAGAGTAGAATGACCAACCAAGCCATAGTTTCCATGCAAACTGTTGATATACAATTAATGTTCTCTCCTTTTTGTAACCTTCCTTAACAACATTTCGTGTTAAAGGCAAATATTCATATTTAAATATTTCGTAAATGCAAGTTACACGCTTTTGTCAGGTGCCTTCCATGTTTCGTTTTCGTTAACATATGTGGAGGGGAAAAATTTAGAGCTATGAACTTTTATTTGCCAATTAAAATGTTCGTTTATTAAGCTCACACGCACTTAGACATTCTTAAAACTACCATCTCTTGAGTAAAGATATACAAAATTAAATAATTCTGTCTGGACTTTATTAACAACACTTTGATATATTATTTTTTTTTATTTAATAGTTATAAAGCTGGATATCCTGGAGGGCAGTAGCGTATGATTCTTAAAGAAAAGAAGGCATAGCAAAAACATTGTTAGCAGAAATAAAATCATTTCGGTTATAGCAGTTTTAATGGTTGTTTCGCTGGTACTGTAATTAAGAGGAATCACTGACTCCTCGCCAACGTCTCCACTTCTCACTCTTGGTGAAAACCTCAACTAAGAAACAAAAAATGCTTAACACCATACTGACAACATACAGATTGAGAAGCCAGGAAATATCCTCCAAAACTAAGCTTGCCTCCTGCCTTGTTGGTGGACTCAGGTCCTTGAAGGGCGTTATGCCGAGTCTGACTTTGTCCAGGAAACTGTTTCCCATCCAGTGATTCACCAATCCGAATTCATGCTGCCGCAATATGTGCTCTTCGAAGAGATGTCGATATGGCAGATGTTTTCTTAGGGGAATGGACAAGAACATTAGACGTGAAAAGCAAAGGTCCGTGGCGAAATAAAAAGCTGGCCTCTTGAAGATTTTCTGCTGCTCGACAATGCTGGTCCAACGATCTCCTGAGGACACATAAGAGTAGCTGAGGTTGAGCATCTCGCGTACATAAACATACTCTTGCCAATTGTCGAAGATTTCCAGATAATCTTGGTTTACTTCTTTAAAATGTGAATTGTTGCCTTTAGTAAACGCTGCTACCTCAAATGCGGAAATCGCAATCTTTTGCGGCAATTTGTCGAGGTCCTTGAAGGATTTAATTGGTGCTTTTGTTGGGGGGTCCGTGAAGAAAGATTGTAGGTAGGCATTGTACATGGTGGTCATCATGATGCTGGCAAAGCAAAGGATGCAAAAGATCATCCTGAATGACCTGCTGGCGTTTAAAGGAAATGGGTGTGATTGACCCAAAAGACCTCGCAGGCTGATATCATTTAGCAGTATAGTAGAAAGAGTCAGCGATCGCCATGACATATTTTCACTATAAACTAGGAGCATGGAAAGCAAACAGAACATCACGAAGATTATAAGGAGGACCATGCGATCCACTATCATGGCATAAACCATATTGACTGGCAACTGGGCTGGAACTTGGAGCATTAGGCAGTAAGATGTGAGCAGGAATGGATAGCTGGCTGTATCAAGTCCACTGGAAAATATTGAGACCACCAAATGGATGCCCATATCGAGCTCATCTGCCTTTACCCTCCTTATGATCTCATTAAAGTCGTCTCCTCTATAGACTTCGAATTGCAAAGTGGCATTCACCTTTTGGACGTAGTTGTTGAACAAGTTGCCCAAACAACCAGTTAACTTCATTTCGCCGCTCCTTGGATCTTGATACTGCATCGTCCTCGGAGCTAAAAGGTCAGTCATTGCTGTTATGGGTTTTCCGTGCATATTGCGAAACTGATCAATATAAATCGGTTCACTTTCCATTAGACTTACTTCCTTAAGCTTGGCATTTTGAAAGGAACGACAGGCATATATGACTTTTGACTTGGCAAAGTCTTCTCTTACCATGGCTACATTATATTGCTCCTTTTCTGCATATCGTTCGCATACAGAATCTGGTTGACTTTTCTGTGGTAGGAAGATTAGTCGTCTGTTATTTTGCAGCTTAAAGAGAGTGCGCTTTGTCCTTTCCTTCTCAGCTTCTGGGTCACAACTTAATACCAGAGCTCGGCTGCTAAAAGCCCAATCAAATTCTGTGCTACCAACAGAAACGAGCACTTTTGGTACTTCCAAACGTCTGGATAGTGAATGAAAAACACACTCTTCTCCATAAACAAGCAGGGTTTCGTAAGATTCCTCCTGTTGAAATCTAAGTAGAAGACTTAACAATCCTTCCTCTAGGTCTGTGTTATGTGTATCGGTTACACTTGATAATTGTGCCCTTGAATTCCCAAGGCAGAGGAGTAGGACAATTAACCAATCCATGGTCTACACTAAACTGTTGAAAATCTCGTGAATTCCACTCATTTTGTCGGATATATTGTGCATGTTGGTTTGACATGCACCTGTCATGTTTCTTCCATTGTGTTAACATGCCCAAAGGGTTAGGGTTCAACCCATGATTGGTTTGTTTTAAAAATGCATTTGTTTAATTGGGTCAGCAAAACTACTATTAATCAGAATTAGAGATAGATTACGTGTGCTTTGTTTCCTTTTGTAATTCACCTATTTTTTCTAATTTTGTTAGCCAGCCTTAAATTAAGTTCAGACCGCACAGAAAATGATGAAAAGTTCGCCTTGGCACAAAATAAGTCAACGATTAGTTGCCGCTTTTTTACTTTAAGTTATCAGAAATATTCCCATCTTCTTGTTTTTTTAAGTAAACAAATATCGAAGTGTTTAATTTTCACGTTTATTTCCTTAATACAATGTCAAAAATTACAGTTTCGTACGCAATTCATTACCCAATTCTTGTTCACCTTCTGCGTCTCCAAAACCGACTCCACCTTTCACCGCATCGCGATATCTCCAGTAGGAAGCAGCAAATACTCAGTGCCATCGCTCCCAAGTAAAGCTTGAGTATCCAGGAAACATCATCCAGCAGAAGGCTTTCCTCAATTGTTTTCATGTGACTGAGGTCCTTCATGGAGGCCAGGCCCAACTCAACCATTACAGAGAAGCTGCGGCTCTTCCATAATGCCACCATGCCGAACTCTTGCTGCCGCATCATGTGTTCCTCGAAGAGGTGGCGATGTGGCAAGAACCGCCGCATCGGGGGACTGAATAGCATTAGCTGATTGAAGCACAGATCGGTGGCCAGGTAAAAAGCAGGTTCGGCGAAGAACTTCTGCTGCTCCTCGTAGGCACTCCATCGGTCCACAGAAACCGGAAAGATAAAGCTCGTATTGAAGGAGTCACGCAGCACTAGATACTCCGACCAGTCTTCGTAGATCAGCAGGTGATCCTCGCTTATTTCCCGAAAATGTGAATTGTTCAATGTCGTTAGGACATTAACTTCCATCCTGCTGATGGCCATCTTTTGCGAAAAGTTTCCAATGTCCCGGAAGGCATGAATATATGGCTCGGATGGAGGACGAGTGAAGTAGGATTGCAAATAGGCCTCGTACATGGTGGTGATCATAACGCTGGCGAAGCACAAAACAAATATAATCAGTTTGAGGTGCTTACTGGGGTTCGGGGGAAATGGAAATGATTGGCCCAAAAGTCCGCGAAGACTTTTGTCATTCAGCAGGACATTAGCCAAAGTAAGGTTCCGCCAGGAAAGGTTTTGTGTATAGATTATCAGGATCGAGAACACGCACAGCATCACAAAGATAATGCTGAGAACCACCGGATCCACTATCATCGAGTAAACCTGATTGTAGGGCAGCTTGGCAGGGACTGGAACCATCAGGCAGTAGCCAGTGAGCAAGTAGGGATACCACACTTCATCTGTGCCCTTGAACTGCATGGAACTGGACAATGCGGTGCCAATGTCCAGCAAATCCTGCCTTGCCCAATTCATTATATCAATCACACTGGCCTTTTTTACACCCAACTCTGTTATGTTTATAAACTGCAGACTGGCATTCAATTTCTGGACATAGGTGTTCATCATGTTGGCCAGGTAACCTCTCATCTTGGTCTCTCCAGTCTTTTTATCTTTGTACACCATGGTTCGAGGCACCAAGAGATCAGGCACTGTTTTTATAGCAGATCCATGCATATTCTTAAAGTTCTCAATGTAGACAGGTTGATCCTCGAAGAAGAGTATCTCTTCGAAGTTGGGTGTCTGAAAGAAGCGACAGGAGTAAATGATATCCGACTGAACAAAGTTAGACTTGACCATGGCAATGTTGTGTTGCTCCTTGAGTGAGTATTTCCTACAAATAGACTCTGGTGGAATCGTATTCTGCAGATATATAAGCCGTCTGGTTCTCTGTAACTTTAGTAGAGTGTAGGAATTCTCTTCGTTCTCCGCATTCGATTCACAAGTTAGTATTAGGGTCGAGGTACTAAAACTCCAATTGTAATTTGTGCTGCCTGAGGCAGCAATAACTGTGGGTACTCTTAAGTGTCTTAGTAATGAATGGAACACACATTCTTCTCCATAGACCAGCAGAGTATTGAATTCTTCTTCCAAATTAAACCTTAAAAGTACCCGTAGTAACCTATTCTCCAACTCAAGATCTCTGGGGTGAGTATTGTTGAAAAACGCGGCACTTAGCTGTGCAAAGCAGCTAAGAAAGATGACTAGCCATTCCAGAGCCATCACGAAACTGTTGGTGGTTCTCACAGGACGAGTCCTTTTTATTTGCCAAAGTACAAAAATACCACAAAATGAAGAGTAACCTTTTAACCACAAACCATTTGAAAGGTATTTAAAAACCATGTATGTCTTCGTATATCTGGTTGTCATGCAATTTTCGTGTTCAACGTGTATGGCTATTAACGGCGGCACTCTGAAGTGTTTGTGTGACATTTATGCGGGAAACGAGATTCATTTAAGTGAGAATGTCTGCTCCTGGGGGTAAAGCAAACATAAAGAAAACAGAATGTGTTGGCCTTGTGCGTGAGATTGCCCCATTTGAATTTCTCAAAAGGCCTTTAACAACTTCCGCTGCAAACTCGTAAATGAACTCGAACATCAAGTGCATTTCCATTTCGATGCATGTCTTAAGAGCGCTGGGCAGACAGACAATTCGATTGCTGAAACGAAATTTTCCGGCAATTTGAGCCAAGTCAGGCTCATTGCATTCGATTTTTGTGACTTGGACGGGTTGTCCCGCATGGAAAGTGTAGAAACGCAAACATTTCGTTTTTATGCTCTTAATTGCAGTGCAAGTGGATTTCAATTATTCAAATGAGGCGCTTCCCCGGCATGCAGCTGCACTTCCGAACTGCCGCAAACTGGTCCGAACGCCATGCGTTTTTGGCCAATACACAAACGAGATTTGAGATTTGGGATATCAAGAGGGAATAAAGACTATGGCAAAGGCAAAGTCGAAGGCGAAGGCGACACTGAAACTGAATTTCTTCTGCTTCATCATCGAGTGGCGATGATATCGCAGCTTTATCTCTTGGCCTGCCTTTTGCCATTTTGCTCTCCGCTGCGAATGACGTTGAAGCGAAAGTTGTTACGTTACCATCGACAACCAGCACCGAAAGCCTATGCAAAACCGGTCGGTCATTGATTTTTGGTTACTGCAAATTGCCTGGCCATGACCAGCTGTGGAGCACAACTCATCTCCGCTGCAACGGCAACTGCAGCCACTCGAAATGCTTTGTTGTCACTTGCTGTTGCCGTTGGCCCGCTCCACACTGCGTATGCTTGATTTGGCTGTAATGGCTTTCGTGCGTGCGAGTGTGTGGCGAATTTCGCTGTTTATGGCCGGTAAATGTTTACATTGCTAACCAGTTGCACTGCCAGTCGAACATTGTTCAATATTTTTCAACCAAAATATTTTCTTAGTAATCACACTTCAAAGGAAACCGATAAAGTCTTTGATTGGTAACCTACGGAGTGTTATTTAATGGACTACATTTTCCTAGAAGTCTATTAACTTGTTTATTTGCAATTTCGTAATGCTTTTGAAAATTAATTGTTGTTAATTGTATAAAGTTAATTACAGTTCATTTTTAAATTTGATTTTGCGTCGTAACAAACTTTATTATAGTCATTAACAGCACATTAAATAATCAATTGACAAAATACAAAGCAGTATTTAAAGGTTGTGTTGCATATTTAGCCAATTTTATTTTGTTTAACAAATATTATTCTTCAACATAAATGGCAAATTTTGTATTTATAAAGTCCCCCTTCTATTATAAATTAAACTGTTTAACACAGTTTCACAATGGCTTTAAAAAAAGATGCTAATTGTCTGCTGTGAATGAAGGCAACTTTTCAATCTTTGTGGTAATTAAAAAATGTTGTAATAAATATATATGTAGATTATGTATATGTATATTTAAAATAGTTTAATCTGAATGTTTGTCATTTTAAAAATATTTTTAGCCATTCTGTTTTCATTAAACAAATCTTGTTTTGTTATTGGATAAAGGTAATCAAAAAATAAGCATGCTGCTTAAATTTTAACATTTTTAAGAGGTCTTAAGGAATAACAACCTCAAAATGAGTTTCCAAAAATAACTCGAACCTATTTAATTTGCCCCACTAGCCCAATATAATTTTATGGCATAAGAACTGCTTATTATGATAATTTCACGAAACTGGTTACACTTCCTTTCACTCCCTACTCTTTTGTATGGCTTGTCAAATCGCTTGTAATCCAAGGAGCCATAAAACAACAGCCAAGAGCCACCGAAATCTGCACAAGCCGTTCATTAGGTCTTCGATTGTGTTTTTGTTTTGGATCATTTTTGTATATTGTTGTTGTTGTTGTTGTTGGGCCCAAGCATTGTATTTTTGGCGTGGCTCTCTTAATGATCCCACTTTTGGGTTTGTTTGTCCGACATTTTGCCGGCGATTTTAACACACATTGACCAGACAGCTGGCGGCACAATTTCGGTTTCATTACGGGCTACTCTCTTTCATTTCCTCAACTGAAGCATTTGCCATTGAAAGTAAAATCGACCGTGGTGTTGTTGTCTTTACTGCTGGCATCCAGATTCACTTTCGATGCTTTGATTGAGAATACTTGAATCTGGTATTGGAATCTTCAAGTCGAACGGCAAAACTCACCACGTGGTGAGAGGGACCATCTTCAACTGGCGAAGAGATTGAAACTCTCTCGGCCTTCTCCCTCTCCCTCTCTCTCTCTCTTTCGCTGGCTTCGTCTTCGTTTTGGCCAAGCTGTTGGCCACATTCGACTTGAAGTTTCAGTTACAATACGGCAGCGACTCGGCCTGGTTGCGATTGAAACAATTGCTCCGCGCGTGTCTCCCAATTGCGAGTGTATATCCTGATCCGCGTCCAAGGATAATCGCCAGAAAGAGTGGGTGCAGTGCAAGATCTTCTATATTTTATATATATAGTTAATCTGACTTGACGCGAGTGCTTATTAAATATAGTTTTGATTTTCAGCAGCTGTTTGCATCAACGAGGACTCGGGATTAAATTGCATCCTGTCGCGATGAGAACTCTGCCATTTTTGGTAAGTGGGTGGTCTTAACACCTATTTTCTTTATTAAGTGGCTACTTATGTAACCCCGTCGAGGCTCATTAATCTGCAGAGGTGTCATCGCTGGCTTGACCTGCGATCTGCGACCTCTTCCCCATCGTTGACATTGACAAATCGTGTCATTCCATTACAGGGCGCAAACAAAAGTAAGCGAAGTAAGCCAAGTGTAAATTGCCTTCCGGCTGCCGCGACTCCAAGACTTCAACTTGGCACTTGTTACGCGAAGAAATGTCTGCCTATCTCATGGATCTCTATATAGTACATCCATGCGATCCGCACATGTGCGGATTTGCCCAGAAAACTGTCCTATTGTTTCCACCACTCTTGTTAGCACTGCCATTGCCTGATTTGCACTTTTCCATGTAATATTGCCAAAGTTTTTTTTAGCATTAACAACTTTTTTGGCCTCAAATTTAATCATGGGGATTTTCTGCCCACATCAACTCATTTGATTTTTTGATTAATTGGTAGATTTTTCATAACATCAGAGAACTGGTAAATATTCATAACAAAAGGAAATATGGAGATTAGTAATGTCATTTTTATTGATTTACAAAAGATTTTGTTTTCTTATAACATAATCTTTTCACGGTCTTTTCTTGTTTCCCTAAAATCAAATTTGACAAGGGTATTTAACTTTATGATGTTTTGAATTGATTTCTTCCATAAGAGAAGATGAATTCATTCATATAATTAAATAAAAATAAAAGTATAGTACAATATACTCAAGGTATGGAAATATATATATTTTTTAAGAAATCGAAAATTTCACTTTTAATATAGCACCTATATTTTATGCAGTAAAATTTTGCGATTTCACTTTATATTTAAAAGGATATTATTAGCGATTTCTTCTATTTCTGAAGAACTTTTAACTTGGTTATTATATTTCTATCTTTAAAATATTTTTTTTTCTGTGCATCTTGTAATTTACACAATCATATTCCTTTTGCAATATGAAATCACATGCAATCAGCCACCTGCTGGAGAACTGCTGCGCTCATTTAGCGTCTTCATCTGCATCATCAGTAAAATCAACACGAGACCGAGATCTCCGAGATCACATCCAAATTGTCCTCCTTTCGATCTCGGTTTGTCTGTGTGTCTGTCCGTGTCTCTGTGTGTTCGTCTGCCTTTCAAAAGCGAGGCGCCAAATGGCCATCAGAAATGGCTTTTGCAAAAGCAGTCAGAGATGACTCTAAACTTTTGCGGCCGAAAATCCCCGTGATGATCATTAATGGCTGCCATTGCTATTTGGATCATGATATGTGTAACCTTTACAAAAGACTTGTAAGTGGCTTCGTTTATTGAACTTCTTTTCTGCTGTCCAAATTCAATGCAGTTCCAAATAAATGCCAAAGTGAAGCTGCCCCAGAAAGTCATTATTTGGGGGATTGTATGTAAAGAAAAGTACGAGTATTTCATGGCTAATTTTCGGGCAAGTGGAAAAAAAGAAAATGCTGATTGTCATTGCGCATGTTTGTTGAGCCAAGAAGAATGGGCTGGCTTTCTGTTCGAGGCTTTTTGGCCAGCGGCTATTCACGACACTCGCTCACTTCAGCACCTGTTGTGTCTTTTCCCCTCGTCCAATATCAAAAACTAGTGGTTCCCCAAATAGGCCGAGGCTGAGCATATTTTAATATGCTGCACGCATGCAAACTGTCCATTTGTTGCTTGGAGTGTAGAAAGTTGATTGGATTTATTTCGTCTTCAAAATGGGATTTGGATTTTGATTCGATTATTATTATGTATTTGGATTGCCGTCCGAAAGTTTCGGCAAGTGCAGCCCTGTGATGTTTTCCTTAAACAAGGAATGCACCTTTCACTTCTCGTTCAATTATTTCCTTGCTGCCATCGAAAGATGCTCACCGAATAAAGGAAAACTTTGCAATTGAAGACGAGTTGCCAGTGGCCAGTTGCCAGTTGCCAGTTATTCGGCTCTTGGACCGTCGAGATGTGAATGTACCGATGTACCGATGGGGTTGCGGCGACACACGAATTCATATTTGGGAATGCGGTTTTCGACCGCAGACAATTTTCTGTTTGGCGCGCAATTACAATGTACAAGTATCCGCAATTCGGTGGTCATCGTGCGGGCTTGTACTCGTATATTTATTTAATTAAATATTGCTCAAGAGACCAGCATCTTGAACTGCAGACTGCACGCATTCCCATTCCCCATCCCCATTCCCCATGAATATTAATGATGAACCGAAATTGCTCGGATCTCGATTAGGCTGCCTACTAATTTGTGGCGTTAACATGTTTGGGGCCTCTTAATTATTTGTCTTTTCACCGGCGATGAGAGGGCGAAAGAGAGTATTACGCAATTGGTCGTGAATGCGGCCAGAGTTCAACGCGGTTCCGGCTGACTATCAGCGACCAGGTTTGTTTAATTTATGCGAGCTTTTTCCTTTGAGGGTTACTGATTGTTTATTTGATTTTTATTTATTTTATGCAACGACCTTGCTCATCGCTTAGCTCGTCACCGCAGTTAAGTAATTATCAGGAAAGACATAAAAAGTCAGCAGAGCGCCTGCCACTGACCGCCCTCAACAGAAATGGGTTTTTGGAATTGGTTAGTTAATTGGGATTGTATCATTTGATTGGCTGCTAAATTAGGACCTACCTTTCATTTCCACCAGGCCACAAGACGATCCACGAGTTCGTTGCCTAAGTCTTTTGTTTTCGTCTCCTTTCGGTGGCAATATTTGCACTGACGGTGGCCAATTGTTTGTAGCCACTGGTGGCCACTAGTAGGCACACTCGAAGGTGTTGCCTGGTCACTCGCGTCTTACCAGCTAATTTGCTTGATTTGTCGCCGTTTGCATAACCTGTTGTTGTCACTGCCAATACGCAATATTTGTTCGATTGCCTTTCAATTTACTCATTTACTCATTACTCGGTAATTTGCAATTGACACATTGCCAATATTGCACAAAATGGGAGAAATATGAAATGAATTGCAATGGTCAGATTACAATTGAGATCTCTGGACTTCAGCGCCCTCATTTGAATGAGGAAAAGTCTGCAATCAATTCCATAGCTCCCCCATTTGAAGTCGAGATCCCTTGGCTGGGTTGTTGGACAACTTTTACATTGGTTGTGGCGTGTACCGGATTCCGAGCTATGCAGCCCCATCTCCCATCATTCGACAGTAGTGACCATTATGCAGATCAGCTTGGCCTGGCTCACGCACAGGTCCGACCCGCTAAGACCGCTTCCCACACCCGCTGATCGGCTTCCACGGGGCACGCACACGAAATGTTGCCACTTGTCGGCTCAGGTGGACCAACGTCCGCCGGCCAGCTTTCTCGGGGCCAATCCATGCACAGTAAAAATAGCTCACAAATTGGTCATTATTCAAGATAGTTTTCACACCAAAATAGCTCTTTGGCATTTCAGTGGGTCATTTAAAAACGGAACTTATCTCAATAGTATGAACGACATCTTAATGCTGAGAGATATTTTCTGGGCGCCTTATGAAATCTATTAATTACTCGACTAATGAATAATACAAATTGTTTAAAAAAATATCTGTATTAAAAAATATCGATATTAATAAATACATTATTTGGAACATAATTTCATTAGTGAAGAATGCTTTCACTTTTATATTACTTTATTTATTCGTATATAGCTTTAAAGGTTTTAAAAATCAAAATTGTATTTAATCTAAAAATAAAATTACAACAGCTGTAGCTGTAGTTTTCGACATTATACCAAATTAAATTTTAAATAACAATATATTAAATATAATTTAATTTTGAATTTTATTGATTTATTTAAAAGCCAACATTGTGCCTTGGGCTGTAACGCAAATTTCAAATTAAGCAACAGCTGCAGTACAAATTAAACATTTGATTTTAGATAACTAACAGAGATTCCAAAGGTAATCACAAATTGATTTCCCATTTGGGCAAAAAACACTTAAGCTCCCCAAAGTATTTAATTATTTTTATTAGAGTGATTTAGCACAAATGGATATTTTGAAAGAAGGTAAAGGCAGCTTGAAATGTTTTGCGTGTGAATTTTTTCTCTGTGTGCACTTAACCCGACTGAGAAGCAGCAGCAGCAGAAGAAGCCCAAAAACACTTTCATTTTTCTTCTCATTTAATAATTCATCATATTTTTCACCTTTTGTTTCTCCGCGCCGTCATCGTTTTGGCGTTATCTGAAACTGCAGCCCCCCCCCGCGAAATGGTTTATGGCCTGGTCCACATTTTCCCGGCTGGCGTGTCGCTAACTTCCGTTTTCGTTGGTCGTATGCCACTTCTAAGACACAATGACGGCTGGAAAACGATAAATGTTTTATTTTCGTACACGGGTTTTTTACACCATTTAGTTCGGCTTAGCGAATTGGTGGGGTCTGTGATCTCGCATGGCAAGTTTGTCGCTTCAGTCTTTCGTTTGTTTTCGCAAGTCTCACATTTTCTACACCTCAATTTGAGCGCTAACTTCCTTTCTTCATTCCTATCTGTTGGTCGCGCTACAGTTATTCCATTTGGACAGCTGCCGGCTTATGCAACCAGGGCCTGGGATTTAATTATAAGGATTTACCAGATTGTTGGCAATTTCGCGCGAAAACGAACGCGAAAGTGACGCATTATTTACATCCGCTTCGGTTTCTTTTCTCTGTGACTTATACTTATAACTTATTATTTTTTTTTTTTTGGGGAATGGGAAATGATGTCAGTTACGGTTAATGCTAATGTCTTATGTTCTTTGGCAACTTTTGCATCACTTTGCGATGACTGACGTTCCTAGCCACTCGGATAATTGGCCTGCAGACAAGTTGCGATTCTGGGCTAACTGCTAACTGCTGGTGGTTCGCACGAAGATGACTTTCAAGTTGTGGGCCAGAATAATTGTGCCGTGTCACAGGCTGATTGTCTGTGCAATCTGCAATCTGCAATCTATTCACATGACAGACGGCCTAACAATGGCAGATCAACTGGCACATATCATAACTGTGTATCATCAAGTGCAAGGGGGGTTTTTTTTTTCTCCTCGTCGTGTTTTCTTTGGCTTATGATACGTTCAGACAACAAAGCAGCCGAAAATAAACACAATTTACATGAGAACTTCCCTGGCTATTTGTCAGTTGCAAATTCAGACAAGTTGTCGGCCAGATTTCACTTGGCCAATCGTCTCGAACACCAACGCAAACAGCGAATGGCAAACATTAAAACACCAAGAAAACAAGCGAAAAACCAACCGCAGAAACGTGCCGGCAATCAGTTGTAGCTGCCACTTGGCTCTTTTAGCCACATGCCACAAGTTGTTAGTCCTGCGGTCGGTCAACTGGTTAGCCATCCCATCTCCTTACCAACCCATTTGAGCCATTGCACAACAGCAGCAGTTAGAGAAGTGTCTGCCGTTGATTTACACTTGCCCACTAAATGCTTGCCAAAGATTTTCGGGTTTCTACCGCTTATTCATTAATAAATTTTTTGTCTTGGCCTGGTTGCGTAATGCTCGCCTTTTTGGCCAAATGGAGGAAAACTCTCTTAGATTTATTGGCTTGTAAACATTTTCGTTATGTTAATGTGCGAGTTCAGCTGTCGAGTATTTTGGGGCTTTGGCTTGAGATGAATTTTGATGGCTTTTTACCAAGAGTGCCATGGTGTGTAACTTTCTCCCATTGTTAGCATCTTTCTTTTCATGAACTGCTTTTGACTGTTCGTGCTGTCTGTCGATGGTGATGTTGATTTGATTATTTCTCTCTTTTTTTGTTACTTATGTCTTTTTCATATTTTGTTTGGCTTTGTTTTGGCAAATCTTTGACATTTGCCCATTGTATGTGGTCAGCGGAGTGTGTGCGTTGCAGCAGCTGGACTACTGGAAGTTATCCATAGGTCAGTTCGACGGTCGGGTATGGTAATGTGACAGTTTCTTTGGGAAGTGACTGTTGGATAATCGGTTTGTTTGTGTGGGCTTCCACTGATTAGCATATGTGGCGCGCAAAGGTTGTGGCATAACTATGACCCCCCTCCCCTCACAAAATAATCCATCCAAAGTGAGTGTAGTAGAGCAGTGACATCATTGCAGCCTGTAATTGCAATTAAAAGAGCTTCATTAAGCTGTCAAAATGTCTGCGTTAAAACTGTGAAAACAAAGGATCAGGCTGTCGGCGAGGCTGTCAAAACAAGATCTCACAGCTTCCGTTTTGACATGACACTTCGGACGCCTCCCGCCCTAAAGCAAAATCAAAACACAATGCGACTCGGATGCCATAATCAGGCGAGACTACTGCCGTGAGATTGCGCATACGCCACCGATCGACAGAGCTCAACTGGGTTAAAACCCCGATCTTTATGGCAGTGGGTAACGCTCATTGTCCGTCGAGTGTGTATTATTTTCACTTCACTTTCTGCGCAGCCATCAAAATGTTTTATACCCGCACTCGTACTTTATTATATAGATACAAATCAAATGTCAAACGCCCACACACACTCACTCACACACAGAAATTCAGGTGATTTCTGGCTGACATTTGCAGTCCAAGTGCAGTTTTGGAAAGTTCGGTGAAAAATTCAAGACAGAATTGAGTTTTCCTTTTGTCTCGTTTGGCATTTTTGCGTGGGCGTGGCCAGAAAGCGGCTCCCGCGGTCAATTGAAATTCGTCGCCGCACTTCAGGGCAACTTTCACGGCTAAGCCAGAAAGGCCGGGCTGCCTCTTCCGCCACTCGATGACTGATGATGACTCAAAGTCTTTCGGCTCCAAGTTCGCCGATGATCCGCATAGCGATATATAAAATTAAAAGGCGAAACCGGGCCGAATTGAAATGCTTGAGCCTTGCTTTGCCTTGCCTTTAGACCATCAAGTTGGCGGTTTGTCAATTCTGTGGTCAACAACTCAATCCCAGCCTCTCCATTTCATTTCATTTCCATCTCCAACTCACAGCCTCAACTTGACATTGACCCAATGCAAAAGTGAAAAAATAGTTTTTGCTGGGCTAATTTGTTGCGGCTTCGTTAACTGGTGATGTTCGAGTTTATTGCGTTTTTAATTCGCCTTTTTTGGCATTCACCAATTTGCTTTGCCATCTTCTATTTCAGCCGGTAAAAGTGTTTTTTTATGTTTTGGGTTCGTTTTTGGGCTTTTGTCGGGGTCTCGACCTTGTCCACTAGATATCAATTAAAATATTTGTTTCCAGGAGCCATGTGTGTTTACATGGCAGTGAGATTTATCTGGAAGATTTATGGGCATCTTTCAGATTGCTCAGATGTTTTGGCTTCCAACAAATTCCCCCGAATAAATTTCGCTTTCAATGCCGATTAGTATCTTTGGCTATGGCCTAATCCAAAAATAAATTTGAGTTCCACGAAGTTTTAATTAAAATATTTTGGTTCCAGTACTAATCCTCAACTTTCTATTCAATTTGCAGTTGGCGCTGGCGCTGTTGGTCATTGGAGCCACAGCCAAAGCCTCATCCTCCTCCACCACCACCAGTACCACCACCTCGGCGAAGCCAAAAACAGAGACCAAGCCAAAAGCTGAGCCGGAAAAGGCCACCAAACAGCCTTCTCCCTCGGCTTCGCCTGCCTCCAAGGCCACAACCACATCCACCACCCGCCAATCGAAGGCTTTAAAGCCGGGCGAGAATCGTGGCAAGAGAACGCTGTATGACTTTGGCAATGCGGGCTATCTGTATCCCGAAGTGGCCAGTAGGAGGGCTGGCTATGTGGACAATTCGGCCAGCTATTATCCCCAGACTGGCTACTATAATGGCCAAAATGCAATTGGTAAGCAAACCGGAAAGATCTGGTTTTCATTTTCACAGACACTAATGGAATTCGATTTCGCAAAATACCAGTCATTAAAAAAAAATTACAAATTAATTCGACTTATTTCGATTGGGAATATAAAAAAGGGGAAATGTTTTTGCACGTATCTTAATGAGAGAAACGATTTCAATACAATTCTGTGAAAATGAAAACATTATAAAATTAATTTATAAAACTAAAACGAAACCCTTTTAAATTCCAGCTCAATATCCAGGCAACTTTGGACCCGCTTATGCTCAATATCCGCAGTACTTGGAGGCTCCGGAACCCATCATCGAGATCATCATCAAGGATGCCAATGAGACTTTGGCCGAAGAGCCTGCCCAGCCAATTGTGACCAAGAAAAAGAAGAAGAAGGAGAAGGTGCATGTGTTTTATGTGAACTACAAGAAGGATCAGAACAACAAGTTGCACTTGGAGTCGCCCATTGCCTCGTTGAATAACGACGATAATGAGGAGGAAGAGGAGGAGGAGGAGGAGGTCATCCAGTATCCGGTTACTCCATTGCCACCAGTGAAGTCTACCACCCTGCGCACCATCATCCATCCGGATTCCGAGAAATTCCACAGCAACTCCGGCATTCATGTGTCATTTGGAGCGGAGAATCAGCACCAGACGGGTCACATCCTGGAGGAGCACGATGCCGAGAGCATCCAGCGCCAAGTGGTGGCCTTGCCACCTTCGGTGTCCTCCAAATCGGAGGGTGGATTCCTGAGCAACACACGCGCGGATTACGGACGAGAGAACAATTTTGGCCGGGCTCCAGGACCCATTTCCAATCTTCTCTTTGGCAGCAACTACCAACAGTCGCCCATTAACTACCAGCAACAGCAGCAATTGCCCACTCAACACGGCAGCAACTACTTCAGGCCGCCAGCGGCACTTGTGGGTCCACCTCCAAGTTATCCAAAGCCAGCACCACAGGTGCAACAGCAACATCGCCCCAGCATCACCCAGCAACAACTGCCCTCAACTTCTTCGCAGACCATTTTCAATAAGCTGGTGCAACAGTCGCAGTACTATATTAACCACAATCAACAGTACCCACAGCAGCAGCATCACCAACAGCAACATCAACCACAGCAACATCAACAGCAGCAGCCACATCAACAGCAGCAGCATCAACAGCAACATCAGCAACATCAGCAACAGCAACATCAGCAGACAGCACAGCAACACCTGCAACCAGCACCGCAGCAACACCAGCAGCATCAACAGGCACCGCAGCAACAGCAATATCAAAAACCGCCCCACAAGCAAGTGCAAGTGCCATTCTTTCCCACAATTCCGCCGAAAAGCGTGACTCCTGCTCCATATCAGCCTGTTAAATTCCGTCCCACACCTGCACCTGTTGCCCAGGTGAAACCCCTGCCTCTGCCCGTCAAGCTGGACAATGCCAACTACCAGCAGCAGCAACACTATCAGCCACAACAGCAACAGAAGTTGCCGCATCAGCAGCAATCTTATCAGTTTGTGCGTCAACCTCAATTTGTGCAGCAGCCGCAGTTTGTGGTGCGTTCACCCACGCCACTGCCAGAATACTACTCCCAGCAGAAGCAGCAGACGCAGCAGCAACATCATCAGAGCGCTCTCAACTATTTCGACATTAAGCCTTCCAAGGAGACGGAGTTGTTGAAGTCCATTCCCAAGTTTGAGCAGCACATCACGGAGACTGTGCAGAACCCCATTGTCCCCTCGCAGCAACCACAGCAGCAATATCAGCAGCAGGTGCAACAGCAACATCAGCAGCAGCAGGCGCAACAGCAACATCAGCAGTATTCTTATAGCAGCACGCGGAATGAGGTGATCCACGATGTGCCCGCTCCCAACTTGGGACCCACAGTACAGCAGCCCATCTCTGGACACTACATAACGGCGGGATCATCGAATGGCCAGCATTCCCAGCAGCAATCTCACTTCGCCAGCTTCCCCAGCGAAACTCCTTCGCAGCCTCCCGTCTATGCAGAGTCCACTCATGGCCAGAAGGTGATGGTGGTGACCCCAGTGCCTCCATCCACCAACTATGTGACCTATAGCCAGTACTCCCAGGCCGCCCATGAGCCAGTGGTCCATGTCAATGCCCAGTCGGCGGCTCTGCAGGCTCAGGCCAGCACCAACTTTGCCCAGCAGCCCCGGCAGCCAGCTTCCTCGCTGATCAGTGCTCCATCTGGTGACAACTCACCCTTCAGTGTGTCCACTTTCCACTCGGATGTGTTCAAGGAACTGGAGCAGCGGAATCAGAAGGAGAAGCAGGTGCCTCAGCAGGCTCCCAAGATAGTTTCAGCTCCAGTTGCAGTGCCCCTTCCCGTTTCCCCTCCCACATCCACTCCCGCATCTTCGCCCGATGGCAAGGCCTCGCAAACGCTTCTCCAACTGCCCGACGAAGTGCCCGATGATCTGCGCCAGCAACTCTTCTCCTCGGGCATCCTGAACAATGCCGATATCTCCATTCTGGACTACGATAAGCAGGGAGACATTGCACTGGAGAACCTGCCCGCCGAGCATCTGCAGCACTTCTATGGAGCAGGTGGTGGTGCCCAGATTGCCGAGACCAACAAAGTTTTGACCGTGGTCAAACCCAATGGCGATAAGGTGGCTCTCAGTGAGAAGCAACTGGATCGCGTGAAGCAGAGCAACTCGTTGCCTCAGAAACAGGATCTCGATGTGAAAGTGGTTCGCTATGATGCCGCTCAAGGTCAGAGTGTGAGCGATAAGTATGTGCGCACCGATGCCACCGTGGTGACCCCAGTGGATTTGGCCGAACGCCAACAGTACAACCGCTACCTCCCACTGAAAATCAACGGAGCACAGTTCCCCATTCCCGACAGCGAGGAGCTGCTGGGCAAGCGGATTGTCAGCGTGGTGGTCCTGGCTCCCGTGGAGGCCCAGAATCCTGGACACTCGACCAGTGAGGCGCGGAGTGCCGACGGCAAGGAGGTCAAGTTCCTGGGCGGCGAGCTCATCAAGACGCTGGTGAAGAAGCCCACCAAGGACAACTTCAAGCGTTGGCTGGAGAAGGAGGCGCGCACCGATCTGGAACTGCAGTCCGTGGTTCTGCTGGTGACCAAGTGAGTGACTTACTTATTTTCCTAGTTTTTCGGTAGAAGCTAGTTTGGATGGGTTTTTTTTTACAATATAGTCCCAAATAATCATCGTTGAATCGTGTTTTATTTTAGCTCTATTCGAATCCTTTTATGATTAATCTTTAAAACATTTTTAGAACTTTTGTTAAATGAAAAAAATCAAAAATAAGAAAATTCTATGGAAACAAAAAAAGAACTGAAAGAAATGATTAACATTAAACGGAGCCAACCATGGAATTCTAACTATTAATATTTATTTTATTAATCCATTGCTCCATTTGCCAATTTAAGAATCTCAGCAAATAATAATTTTTAAAGTCTCAAAAATTTGGTTTTCTATACCTATTAAAGTAGCTTTTAACATGATGATATTTCCCTTACAAATTCATCCATATATTCATCCTTGTAAGTCCTTCCTAGTGAGCTTCTACTTTAGGTAGTTACAATCCTAGCCAAAGTACTAAACTAATAATTTTCCCCTTCCAGATCCACCGATGCCTCCGCGGAGCAGGAGATCTTCATGTACGACATTGGAACGGGCAGCATCAACCGGCTGAATGGGGAGCTCTCGAGCACGTTCGTCAACGTGGCCGAGGAGAACGCCAGCAGCGAGGATCTGGAGCACGCCGCCACCTTGGACCCCAGTTCGCTGGAGTCCATGATGCATCTGCGCCGCAGATAGACATCGCGATCGAGTCGAGCCGCCGCAGTCCACAACAAAATGCCATTTAGCTACTCAACTAGACATGATCATCGTGCGCCCCTGAAAACCCCTCTTGCGTTTTTCCACTTCCTTAGTTGTTTTTCTCTTACTTTCCTTATTCTGTCCTCAGGTTGCACATTTTCCACACAAAAAAAAGAGAAACTCGTTTCATTGATCACGGCATTGCATCCAATCCTCTCGTAGTATTTCCATTTTGTAAATATTCTATGCTGATGTTACAATTATCGTAATTTAAGTTAATTTACGTAAAAATATTAAAATAAACAAGAAAATTAAAATAAAGGTTTTATTTTGTATGGGGTCTAGAAACTTTGGTAGATTGTGAAACGAGTTCATTTTTGAGAAACGCATATAGAACAAAATTGATAAGCTTTTAATTTTAAAAACAGAAAATTCTAAATTAAGTACTATTATTCATTATTATTCAAGTTGTTTCATTTGGCATATTTTATAGGTATTCATTGTCTGTATGAATTCTAAATGGATCGCTTTGGAATAGACAGTTTATTTTTAGCCTAGTATTAATTTTTATTTAAATTATTATTCTTATTTATATTTTAAAAATATTTCTGGTGTCAAAACTAAATCCATGAAACGTAGTAACGTAATAAGTTACGTTAGTTACGACAGTAAATGTAAGAAACTAACTTGAGTGCCAATAGCAACCACATCAATTGACAGCGCCACTGTGCATGTAAAAGCCATGTAAAGTTTACTTGGACACGAGTGAAATGGCAACGCCGGGATGTGGGGTCTGAAGGGAGGCAGTGTGACCACCTTTGGGTTTAACGCAAATATAGGCGTTTTCTGGCTACTTTCGCCAGGCCATAAGTCATAAAGTCATAAAGTTTTGGCGCGTTGTTCAAAGTTCTTAAGTTACCATACCTGTGTTTTTAATATTATGGACCTTTTGAGGCCTAAATTCTTTTTCTTATGATTTAGAAAGTTATAGATAAATAGTTCTCAATTAAAAAATTCTAGAATATAATTTACTTGTTAGTCTAGCTAGTTAAACTTGCTTTTGTTGTTTACAAATTGGACCAGATCGCTTTTGATTCGAGGGCAATATCGTCTGAATCGGACCCCTTAATTTGGGCCAAGGTTAGCCGGTGGCCACCGCGGTCTCCGCGAGCAAGAAGTTAAACGTGTCTTGATAGCAGGACAAGATTTCGCACCGTCCATAAGTCACACGCATACGTGACCCAGCTATATATTTATTTAATGTTTATACACCGATATCGGATCTGGTCCACGGCGGTAGACGTGACTAGAAGCTGCCGAAGAGAGTTGGCTAAAAGCGGGGTTTCTCTTAGGCCGCTCTCTCACAGTTTCTTGGCTGGTTGTTTTGACGGGTTTTCTTTATTTTGGGCATGGTAGGTGCAACAAGTCGCTGCGACTATAATTACATGCAGTTTATTTTTAGCTCCGCAACTACGCACGCCAGCAACAACAACAGTTGTCCCGGCAGCAACTTGCAACTAGCAACCAAAAAAACTGGCAACTAGCAACTCGCAACTCGCGTACACTGGCAAACGGCCAAATGCAGCGATAACAGCACAAAAACTGCAGTACATACTCGTGAAACGAAGCCTGGTTTTTCACGTTGGTCATACATATAGTACCGCACATATACCGGCTGAATTGGCTGCAACTCTTGTTGCCAAGAGTGAGTAGTTTCAGATATGGGGAGACACGACGGGTCGGGCAATCCGTTTTTAATGTTTATTTGACTTATGCAATGTTCGAGCGTTTTTCAAAATATTTTCGTTGTAAGACAAACAAAGCTCAAGACAACGCAAACGACACGAAAGTTGTTAAATCTTTAAGGGGTCAGAGAATTAGCTGGTGAATTCTGGCATTTCCTTACAAGCAGTAAATTTATTTTTATGGGAAGTAAAAACATTACTTTTGGCAGAAAATCTTTAAAAATAAGCCGGCAGATTACTTAACTTAAATCATTATCTGCCATTTATCAATTAGATTACAGAGCACAGAATTTGTTAAAGGATTTTAAGACCAAGTTTTGAAATTATTGTTATCAGGTTTCCCTTAAAGATTTTCAAAATTTAAGTAAGGAGTACCGATCTAATATTGAATATAAGTTTATTTATTCAAATGATGTGATTCACCCAATGTGTATCTGTCAACCTGTTTTCAATTGTAAGAAAGGTAAATTTCGAAGAAAGCGGTTAGTTTTATAGAACCACATAAAAATCGTTTTATTGGCTGTTATTATTAGCACAGTTAAGATTGAAAAGAAGCCAATTTGTAGTGAATTTCCATCGCAAGGTAAGAGATCAATGCTTTGTTCCTGAAATCCGGTGACCTAAAATTGTATCTTGCTGCGCTGATGTAAAAACGGGGCTTTAACCCACTTTCCGAATCGGTTGGCCTTGGAAGCGAGTCCTGTCATCTGGCTGGGCTTAAGGTAAACTCCAATTTGGCCCAACCCACACACATGCATACACGTATGTACACCCAGGGGGACCATGTGGTATGCATTCATCTCGTTGGCTGAAGATGTATTTTTCGTGCTCATCCCTTTTGACACATGTTGTTTGAACTGCTTTCGATTTTTTTGCCTCACTCGAACAAACGTCTTTTGCTGTAATTTTCGCATTCTGCCTCCCACATCCAATGCGTCTTACTGATTTTTGCGATTTGTTCTTTTCGTTTTTTTTTTGCACACTTTGTTCTGCTCGCATATCGACTTGACTCGTTTCAAAATTGGGTTACAGACCCCCGCTCCCAAAAAAAAAGGAAAAAAGTAAAAAACAAGAGGGCCCGCAAAAAATATAGCACACGGCCACAACAACAACAACAGCAAAGACTAAGGAAAAAAAATGCAAATGCAAAAATCCGTTTGACGCCGTAAGCTTTGTGAGTCAGAAGAGAGCAGTAGAATTGTTGCACTGATTGCTCATGCCTTATGTTTTTGTTTTTATTGTTGTTATCGTTGGTGGCAGATGAAGGAGAACATGCCCTGCCCCCTTCTACCCCATCTGTGTACTTCTTCTCTTGCTCCTCCTTTTCCTTCCTTACGATTTCTCTTTTGGCTGCTTCCTTGGCTCGTGTCATTCCGTTTCTTAGTTAAATTGTAGTGCTACCGCTGTTTACGAGCTTTACACAAAGAAAAAAAATATTGTGTGTTAAAAATATGTTAGATCTTAAAGATCTAACATCTTATATTAACAAATAAACCAAATTTTCCAAACGTTAAATGTCGTTTTTAAATACATACCAACAAACTGATTGTATGGTCCCAATAAAAAACAAAAGCAAGATACTTTAAGTCGGTTTTTTCCTAAACACTCTTTGCTTAGTCAATAAACATTTCTATTTGCTCTGTTTACGAGTTTTTTTCCTTAAGTCTCATTGCCTTTCGCAACTAAAATATCTTTAGCACCAGTATTTACTTTTATATTAAAACATTACTCATTCGCCATGTTGGTTATATGGACAGAAATGTCGAGGTGGGCTTTTTACGCAAAGTTTCGGAAGGCAATGCAAAGAATTCTATATATAGATATATTTGATTCGATAGACTATGGCAACTTTTAATAAAATGATATCAAGACAATGTCCATAAATTTTGTATTTGTATGCATTATCTGCGTCGATGATTATCGACGTTTTATATACTTTCTTTCAGTGGAGCTGTTTTTGTTACTATTTTAAGCTCTCTCGAAACTAAAAGAGAGCTTAAAAGAGTAGAGTGTTTGGCTTCCGCGCTTGGCTCCCTCTCTCAACATCACTCTGTGAGTCTGGAAGAGATCTCCGGTTTCTGCCGCTGCAGAGGCGTTGACGTCGCCGTTGGGCTCCAAAGCTGCGCTCAGTTCCATCCGATCGGTCGTCGCAGCAAGTTCGCGAGTTCGAGCAGCGGCGCAAACGAGAAAAAAAGTAGCGTTCCAAGACTTCGGCCCCCAGTCGCTGACGCCGAGGGCGGCGCAGAAAACTTGGTTCCTTTTTGGTTTTGAGTAATAAAAAAAGGGCGCGCGAGTGGAGATCCGCTATTAACGGATCTTGATCCTAGACGAACTAGTTTTTAGATTGCGCAATTTTAACCGCGTGAATCGCGAAAAAGCAACTGTTTTAGTGCGCGTCGCCGAGTGAAATTCGATAGCAAAAGGCAACGCGACGATCGGCGGCTCTGAAAAGCCGTTTTAAAAAACAAAAAGAAAAACTGAAAACCAACTAACATGGCGACCGCCGCCTGCGTCCGCTGCGCCCAACAAAAGCAACAGCAACAACACCAGCAACATGGGGCGCAGGCGCAGCAGCAGCGACGCAACAGCCCGCGGATTCTGCACATTTACAGCGCGTGGGCGTTGATCACTCTTTTGGCCGCCAGCGCCGCCATGGTCCAAAGTGCAGCGGTCTTTGGTTAGTTAGCGAAAAAAATTGAAAATGTGCCTGGGAAAATTGTGTCCGGGGGGATTTCATCAGGCGCCGCTGCATTGTGTGCAAACGGTGTGTGAAGAAAAGAAGAAGAAATTGGTGAAAGGGTGGGAGGAAGGGCGGATGGGAATACCTGGTAATTGAGGCGCCCTCAAGTGCTCGTAGCTTTTATAATTACTGAATACGAGGAATCGGTTCGGAGTATCGGGTCACAAGATCTGGGCAAAAGAGGTACTTCCCCACATTTAAGTTAAAGACTTGGATTTCACTTCTCGTTATACTTCTATAGTTGGGACTTTCCAAAGATGAATTAACGGTAATTCCGAGAAAGTTAATAGTTATTTTAGGTACCTCTGAAATACATTGACAATAAATATAAACTTGTTTTCTCCAGGTTTTTTAGCTTTCCACATAATTCACTCTTCATAATTTGAAATTCGAACTTCTCAGTTCAAAGGAATCTATTACTCAAATTTCAAATGATCTTACGTATTTCCCTTCACAAATCAAATTTAACATTTGTGTATATGTAACTCTTACTTTCAAACTGTTCAAAGCTCTTAAAAAAACAGAATGGTTTTAAGTTACATGAGTGTAACAAGAAAACTAGATAGAGGAGCAATACTATAAGTAACTGTTTTTTATTTAATTATTTTGTTGGAGATTTGAGTTCTCGAGTATTGACTGTAGTTAACCATTGCCTTTCTAATCTTGACCATTATAGTCTCTTTTTTAGTCACCCATCCCATATCCGTGGCTTTAGAATACATGTTGTGAACCACTGTCATTTGTTGTGTGTGCTTTTAATTTTATCACCGATTATTTGTGCTGTTTCTGTTTGGGAAACCGGTTGTCGTTTCCCCCACTCACTCGATATTAACCGCATTTGACCGATCCCGCCGTGCACATGGCTTCGTAAATGATTGTGTTTCATTTTCTGCCTAAAGGCCAAATTCGAGTACTAGTCACCAAAGTTTACTGATAAGCGTTAAGTTTCGTTAATTTTTTTTGAGCGTGGGGTGCTATAAAAAGCAGCTAGACGCCGTAAATAAATCACGCGGAAGTTCTGCGGCATGAAATGAAATAAAAAGAAAACAATATAATGCAAATAAAAGAAAATACTTTTTTTGTGAAACTTGAAACAGAAACAGAAAACTGAAAAAACACAAAGCGGAGAACAGAAAACGCAACCGCCAGACGACCTCATTGCCATTGAAATACAGTTATGGCCCGAACAAAGAGGCAAATCGTCTTGATCTCCTCCGTTGCAACAAGGGGTTAATGTTGATGGCAACATCAAAGCAAACCCAACGAGGCCGGTACTCCATTGACCTTTGAGGCCTAAGAAAGCGATAGAATGGACTTCCATCCATATAAAATTAGATCATTTGGCAATGAATATTATAAGATCAACGATCAAACTTAATTAATTTATATCAAAAAGATAAAAAATCATGATAAGAAGTGTTTTATTCATACAAATTATGTGAATATTTAATACCAAATCCACTTTTGAGTTTACAGAGTCCAATAAGTTAAATCGAGAAGATGCAAAGTCCATTAAAAAATGTTTGTTCAAATTTGACCTGATACTATAAAATTTGTATTTACCACGCAGAGTAAATTAAACATAAAGAATATAGAAATGATTTAAAGTTGATTGAACCAAATTTACTTGGTTATAAGACTTTTCAACAATAAGTCATCTAAAACCGATTTTATGCCTTTGTTGATTTATAAGCCCATTCCAAAAGCACTTAATAACCATTAAAAAATGAAATATACTACATAGACTACGAAAGCAGTTTCAATTTTTTCCAAGTGCAGCCACGAGTTTTTACCCAATCTAAATCGAAATCTAACACCGAATCTTGATCTGGGCTAGTGTTTACTCTATCCGAACTTTTTGGCTAGCACAACAAACAGTCGGGTCGAAGAGCTTTATTTATCCAGCCATAAACATTCATATGTATATTTAGCCATGTACATGTTTGCAAACTGGTTTCCAGCTCTGTTTTGCCGTTGCTGTTGTGAATATCAAGTAGAATTAACATATGTTGCCAGCAGCCATCTGTGGATTGGATTGGATTGGAGAAGTTCCCCCAAAGTCTGGTTTTATAAGGCTGCTGTGGCTAGAAGCTGCTTGCTATGCGCCCCGAAAAGTCATCTGGGTTCAATTAGGTGCCACTGCCACACAGAGACACACAACACTCCAGCCCGTTTTTCAATTCCAATTCAAACTTTTTTGCGAGCGAGACGGCGAGCGATAAAGCATTTACAATCGCTTAATTAAAATGCAAATTGTTCATAAAAAAAATGGCAATAGAAAATAGCTGCCATTTTGCTCGAGTAGTTAAGGCAATTTTTGGCGTTTGCGTTGCTTTTTTTCCTTACGTTTTCGATATTGTTTTTCTGCCAAGTTCTGAAAATGGGTCTTTGATTTATGTATGCGGCCATTAGAAGTCATGTTCAACTGGCTTCCGCCTCGACTCGCCGCCATTCCGCTGACTGCTTGGCCAGTTAAGCAGCAACAGTTGCCGTTAGGTCTGCCAATGTGTTGCACGCAACAGCAGCAGCAGCAGCAACATCAGCAGCTGCAGCAACAAATTCCCAGTTCCTTGCCATTCGAGTTGGCCAGAATTCTTGTTTATTGTACAATTTATTTATTTTGTCGTTCTTTAGCTGGGCAAACAGACAAATTACAACGACAACAACAACAACAACAGTGACTATGGCCAACAGCAGCAGCAACATGATGACACATTCGCTTGACCTATTAGGAAAATTGACCAACGGGAAATGTAGCGCGCTGTCCATGTGGCTGTGAAAGCGGGGCAGGCGGGAAAAGCGGGAGGGGAAAGCTGGAGAGCGGGAAAGCGGGAAAGGTGCGAGGCCAGATAGAGAGGCACAGACAGAGAAGGAGACAGAGACAAAGACAGAGACAACAACAGAGAAAGAGATAGAGGGACAAGCACTTAACCCTTGCCATTCTGACTTTGATAGTTGACCCAATTTCAGCAGTTTCACAAATAAAAATAAAGCAAATAGAATGATAAGCAGCGGAAGCAGAAGATCATATGCTCTATAAACTTAAATTTATTATTATTTATTTATGATCTTAATTGTTTGTTAAGAAGTTTTCTTTTGGTGTGTAAAGTATAAACCATTTCTGACTTTCAGATATTTGACTGATAATGAAATTAACTTCTAAATAGAAGTTATAGGTATAGTTAATAGTTACTGAATATTTAACAATATATCAATGGAATTCTTTAAGGTCTATGTTTTTTTTTAAACAAAAACGTTTACTTAAGAACACATTTCAATGATATTGCATATGAATTGTTTTTGTACATAAATATTTCATAGGAAATAGGGCAGAATTGAAAGCCCTCTACTTCACTTGCAGATAACCCATCGATTCCGTAATTCGATTGTGAGACTTTGCAAGTTTGGTGAAGGGTTTATGGGTTTATGGCATCCCCCCGCGGAGAAGAGTATAACAAACTGCACTTGCAGACTGTTTTTGTTTGTTTCTGTTTGAGCGTCGAGTGGCGTTCACTCCGGGTATGTGTGCTTCCTCTGCGTGTGTTTGTGTGTGAGTGTGTGTGTGCGAGTGTTGTGTAATTTTTAACAACAACTTTTTTTCGAGTGTCTCTCCATCGTGCGCTTTTACTGTTCCGCCCGCCCTTTTCCACCATACCACCGCCCCCCTTTTCCGCAGGCAGCCGGGCGTAATTATGACGAGTGAGCAGAATCCAGCATCCATCCATCCAGCATGCAACACGCGTCCGCATCGCGTGGCAGCCACAGAATTTATTATGCCCAGTCGCCACTCGAGAAACAGAACTCAAAAAATGAGAGAAAAAAAAAAACCCTCAAACCGCTTGACAATCTCTGCACGAGCAGTTGCAGTTTGCTCTTGGCCAAGTTCCGTTTTTGTCTAAATCCGAATCTGAGTCCAAACAACAACTCGCAACTGGCCCACTCGACATAGGGGACTGTGTATAGCACTATAACTTGTGGATCGGCATTGACTACGCATTTTAATGTGCCCTTTTCAAATTCAAGTGGCTGCTGATGCTTGACCTACACACAGATACGCACGCACACTGGGAGTCAATGATACACATCGCGAGATATTGGCAGATAAATAGAAGTACACTGACAACAATTGGTAGGAGTTCTTAAAGAAGTAGCAGTCCACATCAATTTATTACTTGTTTAAAAGCCAGAACCATTTTTTCTGACGTTTAAAGTTTTTAACCATTGCCAAGATATAATATTGATTGTTTTTTAGGTGGTCCAAAATAAACCCCATTGAATTCGGAATTACTTATTTAAACATTTATTTTCACAGATTGGAAAGCGAGAACTAATAAAGTCTTGAAAAAGTGAATCTATCTTTTAGATCGAAGAAACAGAACATAACTGTAATAAAATTTAAATAAAAAGAGAAGTTGTTTAGGTTATAATATCCAAACCAAAAGATTTTTTCTCAGTGCCCAACAGTTGACTGTAAATTGTTTTCCATGTTTGTCTGTGAGTTTTCTGGTTGGTTTGTTAGTTGTTTGACTTGATGTTTATCTGTGTAATCATGTCTCTAAACCTGACCTTGCCCAAAACTTTGGAGCAACTGAGCTGTAGGTACAAGTTCAAAGCTTTGATTCGATAGCACCTTCAAGTTCCAGGTTTTGACTTTCCCCCGGGAAAGCGTTCTGCTTTCCCAACAACAACAACAACAAATCTGTAAAACTCGGTTCTGCTCTGAAAACGTAAACAAATTATTAACGGCATATTTAGTGAAAAAATTGGGTGGAACTGTTGGCCCTTTCTTTCTTGCCCGCTTGGCTGGCTGCCCGAATCGTAAACCCATTTCTACTGTTTATAAACTCCCCGCATTAACCCCAAACAACCCAAGTTTACTTGTGTATGAATTCATGTGTTTATTTGCCGCAGAGTGCTTGTGCGCCTTTAACCCAATTAGCAATGACGCTTTAGAGCTCTCTGTTGACCATCAAATAAGCCTTAATCATTACTTAACTGTATGCAATTCATTGTATTACAGTGCTAATGGCCTTTCATTCTGTAACAATAGCGTCTAATTGAAGATATTGTATGTGCAATCTGAATGAGTGTTATTTGTTTAACTTTCCCTAGAACAACCGAATCGATTACTCAAATCTACAATAACTGCCGTGCAAAGCGGTCTCGAAAGACTGTCATTAACCCGGTTGTAATGAGTGCATTTGCCAAAATGATGATTGAAACTCCAGCACGTGTGGACAGCTCGCAGCCCCTTGGCTATTAATGTCAAGTTCGAAATGGGAATTAGCTGCTAAATTGCACCCGTACACACGAGTACTCATGCTCAGACTTGGGTGAACGGAGCAAAAATGCAAATTGTTTAATAAAATGTTTAATAGTTCGCAAAAGCTGTGTGGCAATTGCCCAGCGGAGAAAAAAAAGAGCGAGGGCGGCTGCAAAAACAGACAAACAAACAATAAGTCGGTTGCAGCAACCGCTCGGGTAATATAATATAATAATGGTGTACGTATGTGGTGCAGTCAGTGACCCAGAATATGGATGTATGACTACCGCTGAGCACAATGCAAAAGTAGTTTTCCTACAAGCCAATGAACGCGCTTGTATTTGTACTTTATTAATTGAAGTACTTAATAGTGCTTGTGTGAATCTTTAACCTTTACGGCGCAAAGTTCGAGATCGAGTGCAAAATAATTGAACAGAGGGGATCACTTGTATCGCTGTGTTTAGGCAAACGTAACGTAGTCATTCAATTATTGTAGAATCCATTCGTATTAATTGAATTTTCGAACTGTGTTTGGTTTGGTTTCATCACCCGAAATTGGAGTGCCATCCATTTCCCTGTCAATTCACACAAAATTCCTATTTTTAGCATTGTCACACCGCAGTTTATTATTTGTCTTTATTTTTGTCAAGCTGTGAGTTATTTATTGATTGACAACTCGCGGATTTCGTCTGCATGCAATGGGTTTAGTTGGGAATGATGGATTCCGCATATAAATGACCACAAATCGCTGGCCATCCATAAGACCAATTTGATGAATAAATTAACAGACCCCTGTGAATTTGAACTCAAGGCATCTGCTGCGATAACTGACCCTCTTCGAAACTCTCCATTTCAGGTGATCGACTGTCGCATCCAACTTTCAAACCACTTTGCAGTGCCCAGCATGAGCACTTCATCGAGAGCGAAGGCAAAGAATCTAGTCTCATCATCGAACTGAAGCCGGGCTCGTATGGAGCAGAGAATCCCTCCTGTTCCCGCATCCTGAGTGCCCCGCCCAACTATGGCTTCATAGTGCGCCTCATCCTGCCAAAGTTGCGGCACAGCCAGCCCTTGGATGCGGCCACCTCCAGGAGTCCGCCCACAAACATCATGCCCGCCGTAGCCGGGAGCAGCAACTCATCCAAACTCCGACGTACTGCCAAATCCGGAGGAGGGATGGAGTCCTCTGCCCCGCTAAACTCAACAATGGGCATCTTCCCAGCCATGACGACTTCCCGGGCTTTGGGACGCACCTGCCCCCTGAACATTGTAAGTGAACTCACCTTAGCCCCCATTTCTGGCGACAAGGTTGCCTCTGACTTAGCACACTTAAAACAAACTAGTATGAGGTCTAGACAATATTCTTATTAGCACACTTAAAAGCAAATAGTAGCTAAACCTAAAAAAATTCTGTGTAGTTAAAGAGATTAGGAAAAGGTTAATCAAATAATGCAATCTTAAAAGCTGGAAGCCAGTATTGAAAGGGCATACATAAAGAACCTTTAAGTTTATTTTACGATTGATCTTTTCGTTATAAAAAATCTATGTAACAATTTTTTTAACGTAGTTTCTATTTTACAAGCATACATATCTTCTTCACATTGCTACTATGCCCCATCTAGGTATAGGTTTTCTTTAAGTGTAGTTCTTTTTCGCTGATTAGTGCGAGGTTGCCATATTCTGCACCTTCCGCTCGAATTATTTGCCAGTTTCTTTGATCCCATTCATCTGCTTCGAAAAATACAACTTCAGTGCGCATGCGCAGCGTTCAAGTGTGAGAATCAGATCCAAAAGTTCAAAGAGCTGAGTTCATGAACAGATAGCCAGTAAATTTCCACAACTCAGGATTCTCCTACACCTAAAAGAAACGAATGAAATCAGAATTTTGTATGACTTCATGCGAAATCTTTTATGATATATCTGTTTCTAATTTATGCGGTGAAATACAGAAAATTGCTGCCAAATTGCTGACAATTCCCATTGTCAAATAGATTAAGTTTTGCAGGCTGCAATTCTCATGTTCTCATAAACAGACTTATCGAGCGAACAAGTTTAAGTTCTCGATTGACATTGTTACTTTTTTGTGGCTTTCCGATGAGACAGTTTGACATCTGGAATTGTCTCCAATTACCGGCAGGTCCCATGCCAAGCGTAATTCGTCAGCTGATCGTTAACATTGTCAAGGTGTTCTCGGTTAATTAAGAAACTTTCCATTAAAGTGCTGGCCATTGACATTGAACTCCCCCGTCGGTTGGGAGTGTTTTTCACTTTCTGCAGAGCCAAAACTCCGCGTCAAAGCCAGAAAAGCGTCGTATTTGCATAAGCGCGCCAATTCCGACCATTTTGTGAGGCCTCTTTTTTTTGTTGATATTTGAAACACGTTTGTAGCATTTGGCCAGGGAAGCAACAGCCCAACAGCAACCGCAGTCCCACAGCAACACTTTCGGTCGCGTCGCCATAAATCCGTCGACTTCAACCGTCTGACTGGCAGTTGGCGTCGCCATAAAGGCAAACTATGCTACTGAAAAAAGATGGGTTTGGTTTCGGGGACCCGAGGGAGTGGACGCACATCCACATTTGCATGCCCAGAATAGAGCGTTTCTTTGTTCCGTCACCGGCGTGTCGGTGAGAAGTGCAAATTGATGCGTCGCATAATTGCAACTGAATCGTCTTCCTAATGAGCTGACTAGAAAAATGTATCCAGTAAATACATATCACGATGCACGGTTACGATTATTGTGTTTATCACTTCAGAACTGGTTTAACCGTTGTCGATGGGGACACACCCTGGCTAATTGTTGTTTACTACGAGTGTACACTTACAATGGGGGACTGACTACCAAGTCGTCGCAGTTATTGAACCTGAGAGCACAAAGCCATCTGAACCCGTATCCAATTCTTGTTTTATTTAGCTTATCGCTCTGCACGTGAAACAGCGTAGACATTAATGGATTTATTTTTATATATGTATCTACCCCATCGGGTTCTCAAAGCGTAGTTCTGGTTTCTGGCGTGGCTTTCACAGCTTTTTGTTTTGTATTTTTCCAGCGTAAATATTTAATTTTGCATTATGTGTGTTTGCATTCGCAGTTTTGATCGTTTCGTTGATTCTTGATCGTTTTGTTGAACTTGGCCATTCACGTCACGTCGGCGAGAAGTGTGGGCGTGGTCGATAGGCTGAATATAAGCGATTAGCATTTCGTTCGTGTAAACTGTTTGCTCGCACGTTTCGCAATACGCACTTAGGCCACACGCTTTTAGCCAGACCCCCATAATTAAAAGGTTCTATTTGCATTCACCCCAACAGTTCAGCTCGCTGGACCCGCACACGGCCCAGTGGCGAGTGGATCCCTGCCAGCTGGAGGACACCGCCTCGGAGATGGAGGACCCGGTGCGGCTCTTCCACGGACGCGTCAAGATCGTCTGGGAACACGGCCAGCACAGCCTGCGATCCAAACTGATGGTCACGGTGCTGGGCAAGGGCGAGCAGTGCAAGGATGGCAGCAAGCACCAGTGCTTGAAGATCGGGTGAGTCGGATTACATACCCCAACTACCACTGAAGTTCTCAAACTGGAAATTATATAGATGGAAGTTTCCATTTTCGCATAAATTGTCTGTCTCTTTGAACTTAACAGCTTAAATTGCTGTTATTAAAATAAATAAAATTATTTTTTAAACCATCCTTATGTTATTATTTATTTATAATCCATCCTTAAGTGGAACTAATCTATTTAAATTTATGAAAAACATTATTTTCATTCAAACTTTTTAAAAAATACATTTGCTATAAAGGAAGAAAACAAATTAAGATATATTCTATACCAAAAATATTATCTGTATTAGAAATGGAAACAGCAATAACTAATTTACAGCCTAAACTTAGGCTACAAAATAATAAACACACAATGTTTGACAAAAAAAAGTAGTCTTATATAAAACAAAAATCTTTAAACGTAGGTTATCATTTATTAGAGTTATTATTGCGTATCCCAAAAAAGAATCATCTCCTAATTGATATTTGTATATTCTTTCAGCGATGAGCCCATTCTGTGCATCTCCAAGGAGCTGGCCTGTGACGGGATCCGGCATTGTCCTTACAGCAACGAGTACGACAGCGATGAGGACTACGAGCTGTGCTCGAAGCAGTATCGCCCGGGAGCTGGCCACCTGCCCGCCGGCCTGGAATCGGATCTCTTCGAGCAGTTCGCCCTGGAAGTGTTGCGCAATCTGTTTGCCAACGATGCTCCGACGGCACCAGAGGATTTGCCACGAAATGGGAGCGACGGAGCCGGAGGTTTGGACAACTCGACGGCAACCTCGACGACGACGTTGCGCAAAGTGCACACCAAAGATATGAAGAAGCCGGGGGGCGATGGCTCGCCCAACTCCATTGGGCCCAGTTTGGCCACGGATGGGGAGCTGCAGAGGCCGGAAAACGAGACGGCTGAAATGGGAGCGGGCACTGGAGCGGGAAGCGGCTTCACCCGCCGGAATTCGACGCGATCCGGGCTGCACTCGGACCTCTCGAAGTACGGGCCCTGGGGCTACCTGATGCTCGGAATGCTCCTGTGCGGCGGGGCCCTGCTCATCTGCGGCCTCTGGGGTACGTTAAATTGCACGATAGTCTAGTCCAAGTAAGGCACTGTCATTTGGCCGTTGTATTTATGCGTGTTTTCCTCGTTTTCTCCCCCCACTTCCACCCTTGCACACATCATAAACCGATGCCACGACTCACGTGCTGTGCTACTGACCGTGTCTAACTTTTCCGCTGAATTGAATCCAACTAAACCCACTAAACCACTATCACTATCACCATCCCACTTCCCCCAGTTCTGTGTTGTCGCTTGAGCTCTCACATTGAAACCATACGTTCTGTTGCAGCATCCGCATCGCAGCATGCGGTCAACAATGAGCGGGAGGCGGCGCTGGCAGCTGCCAATGGAGGAGGAAGTGGTGGCCAGGACCACCTGGGCGCCACCTCGCCGCCCAACTACGAGGAGCTGGATCCGCCGCCGGCGTACTCGGTGCTCTTTCCCAACCAAAAGGCGGCCAGCAGTACCACCTTGAATCTGGATGCTGCGGCAGCTAGTACGACTACTGCAGCAGCAGCAGCAGCAGCAGCAGCGGCAGCAGCTGCAGCTGCAGCAGCAACTGCGGCAGCAACAGCTCTGGCAGGAGCAACACCCAGCGATACCCCGCAGCAACAGCAGCAGCAGCAACAGCAACAGCAGCAGCAACATCAGCAACAGGAACAGCCAACGAACTAGCTCGTAAGCCTGACAAGCAGGTGTAGCACCTGAATAAAACGTAGCTCTTAAGGTCCCCAACATCACTCTGACTGACTCTGATGCAATTAGCTTAAAACCAATTTAGTGATAGCTTTAAGTGTGACTCTATGTTAAATGTTTGACTATATTATGCTAACGATTTACGATTAACCAATCCAGCCGTCCTGTCAACGCCGCTGTCGCCTTTGGCAGTTGGCAGACCCAATTAGCTTCCGATAATTGAAAATGTAATAATAATGATGATTGTAAAAACAAAACACTGCGACTGCAGCAGGATTAACTGACGAATCGACTAACTTTTGTAATTCTGTTAATTTAAAATTTAATGTGATATAAATTTAAAACTGAATAAAAAGCAAAGTGTTTAAGTATCCACTGTGAATGGGTTTCTTGTTGCAATATCGGAATCTGATAAATTAACAGGATAAAATAATCAGCACAATATTGTGCCTTAAATCAGGTCAGATTTTTAACAACTAGCTTCCATTTATATTTTATTAAAAGGGAGTAATTAATAAAAAAAATTAATATAGAAGTCGTCTAGTCTCATAGTGCAATTAAAATCCAAGAAGAACGAAAAGTGAACCTAGAAATCAGAAACCATCTTACATCCAATATTACCAATTATATCAAAGAACTCTAATATAAATGACATACAAATTCTAAATTAAATACTTACAGTTCCAAATAATTATTTAATCCAGAATTTTGTTATTAAATTTAGATTGTGTATTTTCCCTCAGTGCACACCGTGAAGCTTACAGATTGCTGCCTACTTTCAGGCGACAGTGAATAAATAAACTAACCCACACTGAAATCCAAACACCGTTTGTTGTTTTTTCACATCGAATTGAACATCTTTTTTATTTGCAATTCAGGTAAATTAATGGGGTCGCGTTCGGAGAAGCGGGGCCGGGATGAGGGGATAGTGTTGTTTTTCACATTCAAATTGCAGGTAGTGCTAAATGAGTTGAGTTCTGTTTGCCTCTGTTATTTTAACTGATATATTACGTTGCACTGATATTATATTGTTCCATTTCTCTAGTTACTGTTTACATGTATTTTCTGCTAGCTACCTGCAGGTGCGCCAGGTGCATCGTCATGCTGGTCGCCTAATCGTACATATGTGAAACAAAATTTACGCTAAAAACAAGAAGCTGTTCCGTGAAGTTGGCCCCCTTTAAATTGCAGCCCATCGATTTTGATGGGCTCTCGGGGACCTTGGACTTGCACAAATGTCGCGCTACGTTTGCAAGTTCGTTTTAGTTTTAGTCGAAAATTCTACTACGTTGTACATACATACATATGCGGTGTGTATACCTATATACTTAAGTGCCAATTTCAGCAGTTTAGATTACCGCGGGGAGCGGTTATCCTGTTTGAATTCAAGTTTTCGGCTTTGCTTACATACTCATAAGATTTGGGCGTTTTCGTGTTCGTCGATTCCATTCATTTTACAATACAATTCATCCTTAGTTGCTAGACGTGATCGTAAATACTCGTTACTCGATAGATATATCGTACAATTAATTGGGTGCAGAGTGTGAATATTTCTTAGATTGGGTTTTGTGCAGATTTCCCCCTGTTCTCCTGTCTTCAGTATCTGTTTTTGTGGTCTAAACGGGGGCTTGGAAAAACTCTTTCTTACAACTAACTCATAGGCCATAGGGTACACTTAGCAAATAGTTGTTGTATGTGGTTCAAGAAAATGTTAAATAGATAAAAAACGATCTCTGATAAAATGTCTTCCTCATTGTTTCGTCTTGTATTCAAAAGTCATTAAAAATAAATTCAAATTCAAAATCTTCTCGCACAAGGAGTCTCGCGCTAAAAAGTTATCTTCATTTGTTTTGGTTTAGGTTTTAGTTAGCTTACGAACTACAAAATACTTGTTAGTAATCTATTCTCGATAGTTTCGATTGGTTTTTTCTAGAGTCCTACATTAGTTATCATGTAAAATTGGACGCCAAAAAACAATTAACAAAAGTGACGCAAAGCCCTAAGCTTGAATCTTTGTGAAAATTCAATTGCAATTCTCAAGTTGTTTTTCTGGGATGTCTGTGTCTGTCTCTGTGTGCTCGTTTGTACGTGTGAGTGTGTGTGTGTGTGTGTGTGTAAGAGGGTTCAGCTCATTGTTTTGGTTACTTCTCAATAAATAAGGCCAGTGGATACGCATACATCATAAAAGTACAATTAATGTTTATCATATTTTCAATGTTTCACATTTCGATACAAATCTAGTTAGTTTATAAAAAGCGCTTCTATCGAGATCCAAACGCACACACCTATCCTCATCTTTCCTAATCATATTTCATATTCATATAAATAGCATAAGCATGCATTCGTATAATCGCTCCTAGTAGCCGCAACTTATGGGGAAAGCTTGTAGCCCTATCAATCGTAGCAATTTCAATAACTCCGCCCGTTTAGTTGATTCAAAGTTGTTTGGTATAAAAAATAGAAAAAATTTGGTGACAATAAAAACGGTTCGCCTTAGTTTTTTCGTTTTGCATCTCAAAATTATCGCGATATATATTGAGGCCAAAATAAGTCCCGCTGACATTCACGAGTCTAGGTAGATATTCTCCCGAAACTTCAGTACTAATAAAATCCTTTTAGCTTTCTACAGAGTTTAGGGTATACAATATGTTCATACTGGAATATGAAACGCGATATGAACGGCTTAATGCTAAACACTTTCGACTTAGTTCTACTCTTTGTTCTATCGAATACGCTCTTGATTGCTTAAAAGTTGCTCGAAAATTAGTGAATCTGTTGTTTAGTGGTTATCGAACTGCGATTTATCAGCGATTTAACTAGCGATTTTAAGCGAATTAAAAGCACAGTGATTGTATACAAATGTCTCTGGTTGTGTGTGTGTGTATCTGTGTCTAAGGGAGAGGATTGTGTTTGGTTTATCCTAATCGATCCGCTTATCAAATCGTTACATTACTAATACTTGCACTTTCACTTCCATCTGACATGCTGCGAATGTTGGTTGTTCTGTTTGTCTGTAGTGCTGTTTTCCAATGGTATGGCTGTAGTTGCTGTTGTTCAAGTGGTTTCCTGTTGCTGGAGTGTCAAGGATGCTTCGATGGAACACCTGCCCGGCTAAACCAAAAGCAAATTGTGCGGATGGACGACGACGACGACTACGAAGACGAAGACAAAGACGGCGAGTTGGTGGAGTGGAGGTTGGTTTCGGGAGGGATGCTTCACAAGTGACCCAAGATCCAGATCCAGATCCCGATAGTCCCCCGATGGTATCCTGTCCTTCTTACGTATTTCTTCTTCTCTCTTGGCTGGACCCAGTTTTTTGTGCGTTTGGGTTGCTGTTCGCTGCTCGCGAGTCTTTTTTTGGGATAGTTGGATGGGTGTTGGAGCCCAACTAACAATAGTTGCCATTGCCATTGCCATACCACGGAAAGGTCCAGCACCATCAGTGCGGGAGCATCAGAGGCCGTGCCGTGCTACTCAGTCTGTGGTGGGCCTTCTCGCCTCCGACTCCCACTCCCACTCCCACTCCAACTCCTCCTCCTCCTCCGCCGTAGTCCTCGTAACTCAGCAGGGGCGAGATCTTCAGGCCAGTCTTCTCCGGGATGATCTTGAAGTGCGGCTGATCGGCACTGACCAGCAGGGGTCGCTTCATCGAGGAGTGCATGTAGTCGTGGGCAGGATACGGGTGACTGGCCGCCCCCAGCGGCCTGTGGGTACTGGGCACGTTCATCTTCTTGCACGGCTCCGGCTTGCTCTCATAGTTCATCTGGCAGTTCTCCGGCGAGTACTTGTTGGGCTTGTAGATCGAGAAGATGTTGTTGATCAGGCTGAGGGCCGAGTGACCCCCGGCCGATGGATGATGGATGCCGGCCGTCGGCTGCTGGGTCAGCACACTGCCCACCGTCGGATGGCTGTGCTCCGGATAGAAGTTGTTGTACTGGTACGAGGGCAGGGTGTCCACCGTGGGATACACCTTGTGGCCATATCCCTGCTGGTGTCCGTAGCTCGGCCGATGGTGGAAGGCGGGGGCAGGGGCAACGGCGGGAGCAGTGTCAAAAAAAGGATAGCCACCCGCATTGGTCGAGGACTCACTGGAGTCCAGCTGCGGCGGCGAGGGCATCCCCTCGAGCAGCGACTTCTTGATCATCAGCCGCTCGTGCTCCCGGTCGTGCAGATCGATGGGCTGGCCATTGTTGTAGCACCGCACATTCACGTTCTTCACCTTCAGGCTGCTGTGCATGTTGCGCCGCATGTCCATGTTGATGGGACTGGGCGGCTTGTCCAGCTGCTCCCAGTACTTTTCCAGGTCGATGTTGAAGTCCTCCAGGTCGATCTCCGTGGTGTCCGAGCAGGTGTCCTCGTCGAACAGGCTGGTGGGTGGCTGCATCTCCAGCAGCGACTTGCTGCGCGGTGGCCGGTGATAGTTTCCCGCCGGATACCGCCTGCCAGGACTTCGAGGAGCTGGGGCAGCAGCCAGATACCGCTCATCCTCGTCCAGGAACTTGTCCTGCAGCAGCAGACGCTCTCGCTCCGCGCGGATGAAGTGCTCCAGGTCGGTGTCGTAGCGGCAGTGCATGTGCTCCTCCTCCTCGGCGGCGGGATGATGACCCGGGCAGATGGGTCGTGATCTTGGGCGAGCGGGAAGCGGCGGTTGCTGCGGCCGTTGGCGGTGGCAGCAGCAGTCCTCCGCCGCAGAGCAGCAGCAGATGACCGTGGGAGCAGCGGGTGTCCTCTGCCTGCCGGCCCGCTCCTCGAACAGCCAGTCTGCCGCACTCAAATTCCGATTGCTGCCCGCCCCGGACGCCCTGGGCCTCACCCTCCCGGATCCCGGATAGATGTCCTCCAGCAGGCAGCGGGCACTGGTGCACTGATCCCGGGCACAGCAGCGGTCCAAGCTACTGCTGCACAGGGCATTCATGTTCCGCCGCAAAGCCTCCCGCTTCTCACGTCGCGTATTCGAGGCGGGCGGCAACTCGTAGTCGATGATGTCGAAGGGCATGGTCTTGGTGGTGGCACTGAAGGAGTACGACTTGGGCACACCCGCGCGGTTCTTCAGGATGGAGGTGGTGGGCGGGGCAGCTCCACCGGAACTGCCACTTCCACTCGCCACACCGCCGCCCGCCTCGAAGACATTGCCCTCGAAGCACCAGCTCTGGGATTTGGGGTACTGGAACTCCTTGCAGCTCTTGGAGCGATGCAGGCCATAACCGGGGGATCCCTCGCCATCCACGCGACGCTCCTCCGTTCCCCCGCTCTTCTCGTCCAGCTCGTGGATGTCCCGCAGCGTGCGAAAAGGTCCGTACTTCAGGCAATCCGGCACATAGTCCTCGTCCATGTCATCGGATCGATTCGAATAGATGTTGTCCGTGTACCAAGTGGAGTCCAGTTGCTTGGGTCGCGGTTTCGCCTGGAGGAGCTTATCCCGCTTGGACTGGCGATAGCTCTCGAAACAGATGCCCTTCATCTTCTCCAGCTTCTGCTCCCGGATGCGCTCCCAGTTCTCCCAGTTCTTGTCGTTCTTGTTGCGCCTCCCGGACAGGATGAGCACCTCGCGGTCCTTGTCCCAATCGGCACTGCTGCCCTCATCGCCGTAGTCGATGTTCAGCCGCTTCGTCTCGACATTGGATTCCCTCGGAACTTGGTGGTGGTGGTGGTGCTGGGTGGTGGTGAAGGCGGATGCGGATGCGGGTGGTGCGGGTGCAACACTACTAGCAGCTAGGCTGTTGTTCTCGGACACTACGATTCTAATCCTACGCTTGGTCTTGTCCGCCGTCCGCGACGACGACGACTGCATGGACGACTTGTGCGGTCTGTCCCGCTCGTCGGAAGGCGGCTCGTCCTCTTCTGGCTGTCACACCTCCTGCAGATACTTGATCGGGCAGTAGCCCTGCCCGTGCTCGGCGGCGCGGATCATCACCATGCCGTTGACCTCGTCGCCGGTCTTGTTTTTGGGAGTCAATGAAAGTGCCATGTGATTTAGGAAGGCGAATGGAGGGTTACCCTTACCTGGATGACAATCTGATCCCTTAGCAGGGTGAGGTTCTCCCCACGTTCGCTGTCGGACACCTGGAGATTGTGGGTCACCTGCAGGGGCTTCTCGTTGGCATTCAGACGCACACAGTACTTGGATGGGAAGTAACCCACGCGTCCCAAGACTTTGCCCTTCCACCAGTCCGGATCCGAATTGTCAATGACAGTCACCTGATTTTAAGGTTACATATATTTAATAAGGCTTATTGTGAGTTAAAACGAATTTTCAGCCTTAAATTTGTTTAAGAGATATTTATTCATAAGATCTTAAAGGCATCAAAACTAAGAGACACAAAACAATGACGCAGACAAATTCAAAAACATACATATTTTTGTGGCAATCGGATTTGACTACTTCCCAGCGTTGTATTCTTTTTAGTGAATTAATAATAGCTTCCAAAAGGAAATAAAATGTACCCTAAAGGCTTCCAGAGCCATTGTAATTACTGAATATATAGTTTGCATTGAAACAAACAAGCGAACATGTTTAACAATAAATACTTTTATGAATGTCGTAATTACTGCATTTCATTAATTTTCTGAAATTTATATAAGAGTATAAAAAGAAAAGTGCTCATCAAAGTTATTGGAGTTCTATAGTATATGACATCAGCCAAGCTATAAATATATTTATTTATCTTTTTATTTGCACTACCTTACTTTGAAGTTCGGTTATTAAGTATGAGTTCGCAGGAAAAAAGCACTTATCGATCCGCATAGTAAATTCCCAGAAGCCTGCCATAAAGAAAAGTTCGTCTCTATCCTGCACCACTGGCAAACCAACCAGCTCGCGAACAAGGACGCAGTCCAAACAAAAGCTAATCTGTAAATATTGAACACTTTGCCGGCGGCGGGCAGGCACTCGCAATCAGAGAATGTACACAAAAAGTCGGTAACTATTATTATTTCTTCTTATTCACTGTTTGTTTCGCCCTGTTTACGCAGTGGAAAAAGAGCTTCCTCCATATGCTCGCTCGTATGATAAATAAACAAGTTTTTGTTGCCATTGTTCGTTTTAATATTGAATAAAGAGCGCGGGAATGTACATATGAGTATATGTTTCTGATTTAGTTAACCAATTTCCCTGGCAGCCATTGTGCACTAAACTCACCGCTTAGCGGATTAAACAAAGCGCATTGTTGATTATTCATTCATATGCGAAATGGGTGGGGTATATTTATGGAGTAGATAGGGACAGTAGTATTAGCTCACCTTGTAACCGGCCTTCAGGTCCAGCTCATCGGCATGTCGCGCCTTGAAGTTGTAGATGATGACGTACAGATTCGTGGGCAACAGACGATGTGTTTTCTTGAAAATGTTAAGCGTGTTTGGGAATGGGTTAGTACGGGTGTGTTAGGTGCAATTAATCGAACGGAGCAGGCAAAACGAACACATGAACAAAAGAGTTAGGTGGAGTAGCGGAGTGGGGACTACCTGGGGATGTCTTACGGGTGAGAGGCACGGCGAGGTGCTGGCCGAGGATTGTGACTTCTCCATTTCGTCCGGCAGATCGACACTGCCGCCACGCATTCCACGGGTGGCGTAGAGTAGTTTGCGGCCCGGATGCGAGGGGCTCGATGGTGCTGTAATGGTTTTGGATGCGTTAATCCCTGCTCCAGGACAGGCTCAATGGTTACGGTTACGGTTTGGTTAATCGAATGCAAGTGGATGAACGAAAAAATCAGAAGAATATCCATGGAAAAAGAAGATATAGATATTGTACAGATAAATTATACACATATACGTCTAAAAAAGGGTATATCGATGGGGGGTTGGAGGATGCCCCCATCTTGAGGTTGAAGATGTGTGGTTAGCAGATGAAGTTAGTTACTCTACAGTTGGCATGTATTTTTAAGCTGCTATTAACTACTAGTTAAGAGGTGAACGAAATCGAACTACTCAACAAAAGTTAACTTTACTCGACTTTTACTTCTTCAACTTATTTACATAGTAATTATAGTATAGTAAGCAGTTAAGAAAAGTTTAGTTAGCGTGTGGGTGTTCATACATACTAGGTTGGAAATTAGACTTTTAAGGGAACTGAGATTCATTAGAGGTGCCCGCTGTGGGTGGGTGGTGGTGGTGGTTGGACTGGTTAGTGGTGCAGCGTACGTCGTGGTCCGGAAACGGGTTCGTTAGCGGTATCGGTATCGGTTATTTGGGGAGACCGGGAGCGGAACCGGAAACGTTTACTGGGTTGCTACTTACAGTGCAGGCGGCTGTTGTTCGACGGCGGAGTGCTGTGCTCCAGGTGGCCTCCGGACCCACCATGGTAGTAAGCGGAGCCGGCCGATGTGGAGGCGCCTGTGCCCGGCAGTTGGGCCCGTCGTCTGAACTGGCCGTGCAGCTCCGACGATTCGGGCGAGTCCAGGCTCAGGGATTTCATGCGTAAGTTCAATTTTTGGCGACGCGGTGAGTGCGGTGCTGTTGTTTTTTGGTTTTTTTTTTTTTTTTTTGGGATTTTTCATTTCGAATTTTTTTTTTGTGTTGGATCATTTGGTTATTTTTGGTTGTTGTGTGTCAGACAAAACACAGTTGGCAAAAAAATGGCAGTAAAATGTGGAATAAAAATTGTTTGATTTTAATTTTCGTTTGTTAAGCATTTGGTAAGTCCAAATTTGTAATCTAGGCGTCTACAGATCTAAACAAAAACCCAAAATAACTTGAAAAATAAACTGAAAAGACGTTGAACATTTAGTGGCCTTCGGCAAGGACATCGATAGAAAGATTGTAGCTTGGTCAATGCAAATAAAGTTTTTTGTTTTTTTTTTTTGTTTAAGTTTGCAACAGAGCAACATTCGACACGTTCAGGAAGAGACAGCGAGTGTATTTTGGCATGTCCAGTGTATTTTTTCTAGTCATCCCGTTTCAGTTGCCGCAAAAAACAAAAGCCAACTTAAGATTACTAATGGTTGAGTGTTTCAGTGTTGGCCAATATGGATTTTGACTATATAGAAAATATATAGAAAATCATAGAAAACTCGTTTCCATCGCCCTGTGCCAGATGAAGGTGATCGTGTATATATATCCGTAGATTGAAGGAAGGCCAGATATCGTTTTGCTTTTTATTCGTGTTATTATAGTCATTCGTTTGTGGGTGATGTGTGGGTTTTTTGTGCGATATTTACAACAATCATACAACATTTAGAATATAATTGCGGTGTACTCAGAAATGACTTAATACTTTAATCGTTATATACATTTAACATTGCTCTCTGGCTCACGCACATTCGCAGAATCGAAATTAACTAAGATATACGATAGATATATATATATGTGTGTAGTGGGTAAATTTAACTATGAGGAGTATTTTATAATAATTACTGTGCTGCATTTAGAACATCAATTGGGCTAGGTGTCTAGGGTATAATAAATCAAGAACTTAAACCATAAATCGCATTAGAACTGTATTAAATTATAGTGTTAAGTGTGTTCCTCCACTCCCTTCGTCTTCATCATATCAATCCTCGATTCATCGCACTCGCCGATTGCCCTTGGACTCATCCGGATTGGATTCCGGGTTCTTAAGGAGCATCAGGGGTTCGCCAAAGGGTCGTGTTGTTTCCGACTTCGGATGCGCTGATGCTGTATCGAGTATATACCATTTATATCGCTTATAGTTTGAGTCCAGCTTTTCTCTGATTTCATGGTTGGGTTAGTAGCTTTTCGATCGATTAACTGCTCTGGCAAAGCAGGCAGCTTGCTGACTGACTCGCCGAGAAATGTGAATTAAAACTAATTAAGTTAAATGAAGACAAGAAGCCCGAAAGAAAATATTAAACATTAAGACAGCGTTCATGCATAAAGCAAACCAAAACAAGCCGAAGGACGCAGACTCAGAGGAGGAGATTGGCGAGCGGAGGAGGACCAGCAGCATAGCATCCCTGGCCCAAGTAATAGAGCAGAAACATAATCCTGGGAAAATAAGTGCAGAGCCCCGCCAGAACTTCTGCCACAAGGAAGTCGACTCTGGCAACTACGAGATGGCGGCATGCAGGGATGGGTATGGAATGGAATGGAATGGACTGGTTGGGAAAGAGGAAGGCCAAACGAAAGGCGGACCCAAAACGGAAAGAAAAATAAGGAGCGCAAAAAGATTGTGTGTCATAACAATTTTTAGCATAATTATGTTCGGCCTGGGACCGACCTCTCGGCCCCCAGCCATCCGCCCCACCGCCCTTCCGCCCCATCCTCCCATCCGCCCCATCCGCCCATCGACAAGAAGTTAGCTCTTCGCCTAAGACAAAAAGTTGGCAGCGCGACTTTAAAATTGCGTCTCTCGCTTTCTGTGTGCGAGTGGCATTAAAAATGCAGCAAACATTAAGCGAAAATGAACTCGCGCCTTGGCGAAAAAGTTTTTTGGCCCGTCTGCAGTGTTTGTTGTATGCAGCATCCTGCTGGAAACGCCAAGCGACCAGTGTCAAAAACCCAAAACCCCACTTGTGAGTTGTGCGGCAGAATTTTTGCACAAGAGTTGACAATGGCTTGTAATTTACACGGCAGTGCCAACAGCAACAGTAGTTCTGAAGCTGTGGCATAAACAGTAGCAGGATGGGAAGTTCAGGAAATAAGTACATACAGAGAAAAGAAATCCGGTGGGAAAGTTCTGATTATCTAATGTTTTAGCTTGTACGTTGATGCTTTCAAAAACAAAAAATAAGATTTCGTAATCTAAACTTAATAATTTATGAAGCAAAAATAAAAATGCATTAAGATCAAGACAGCTTTATGTGTAGGCACTCGAAACCATTCAATTTAGAACTTTTAGAGTAAAAGTTTTAGTTAACGATTCTTATTCATTCTTTCTGTGGTTACTAAGCTTACACTGAAAAATATTGGTCTTTATATAAATTTATTCAAATGTGAAATTTATTTAAATTTCAATCAAGTATAATTTGTTGTTAAATTTAAAACAGCATTTATCCTTTAATACAGCGTTTTGTTTGCTTTTAAAAAGAACTCCGATTGCAATTACCATTACTTTTATTTCAAGGGCTAAATATCAAGAGAAAAGCATTCTTAAATCCGGATTTTTTTCCCCCAAATAGTACCTTTCCAAGTGTAGGAGGATGCAAATGCACTCCGTGGAGCAAGTTTCCTTTCGACTCCAGCCAAGCTGAAGCATGATGAAGCTCCTTTCAGCGCAAAAGGAACTCGGCCATGTATACAAATGATGGCGTTGCAGTTGCTTTCGCTGCTGTTGCAACGGAAATGAGCCATTTGCCTGAAGTGTAAACTGGGTTAAGACTAATTGGCATTTAATCCGACCATTGTTTAATGGCGCTGGTCTGGCCTGAGTGCGCTGAGCTGGCTTGCTTTTCCGCAGACTCGAATTGAAATAATTAGAACGCGTCCTGCCACACTCTATATCTTTTGGCATCGGGCAACAATCACGCACAGACACACGACATACGACAGATACCACTGCGGTGGCCCCCAACTACACGGGATAATAAATTCAAAAAGAGATACACAGAACACGGAAACACAATCTAAACATCGATGTCGAGTGGGAATCAAATGCAGTACTGTTCCAATGAGAACTCATGTCTATGATGGGGTCTACATTATGGTCATCCCCGGAATGTGATGATGGTGTGGTGCTGCAAGTGCTGGCTGGGAGATGGAACGATTTCTGCATCGGCATGATTGGGTTCTGGTTCTTAGTACAATTGTGGATCGGTTTGTGGTGGTGCTGTTTCTTGCTGTCCCCTCGCCTGTTGGTGGTACATTCTGTCTCGTAATTACTTTCTGGCAACGAGATCGATCGGTGTTGCGAGGATCGCTGCCGGAGGCGCCCAAAAACGGATAATGGCCGGATTCCGGCGAACAGTCGCCTCCGGAGTCCCGGATCGTTGATGCTGCTGCCACTGGTGCTGCTCCCGGACTGTTGCTGCTGCTGCTGCTGCTGCGGCTGCTGCTGCTGTTGCTGGTGGGCCGGCGAAGCTCCGGCCGAAATCGAGGATGTGGCAGGAACCTGTTGCATGTAGGCCAGCTGCTGGGCATTCCCCGTATAGTAGTTGATGCCAATGCCATTGCTGATGTACGCCGAGCTGGACATATTCGATACGGGGGCAAAGAACTGGCCATATCGCGGTTCTTGGTGTGTTTGTTTGATGTGGTTGGTTGGTTGGTTGGTTAGGTTATTGGTTGGTAATTTTGAGTTTGGCAAGCGAAACGAAAATTGGCAAAAAAGATATGGACACGAAAGAATATATAGATATATATGTGTTTTCATTTAAGGCGTAGTAAATCAGTTTATTTATCTAAGATGTGAGTTCTGTGTTCGCAATTCGGATGGAACTGTACTTACAACTACTGTAATTGGGGTCAGGCCAAGATGGAACCAAAATGGAGGCAACTGCAGCCGCAAAAGGCAATCTGCAATCAATCAGTTCACTGCTGCATTCACACTCTCCTAATTGGAATAATGCAACTGCAGACCGCAGGGAATGTTGCAGTTCTCTAGGTTGCAAGTTGCTAGTTGCTGGTTGCCAGTTGCAGGTTGCCAGTTGCCAGTTCCCAGTTGCTAGTTGCAGTCAGTGGCGCTAATTATGTGCGCACTTGCCAAGATTTAGGGCACTTTGCGGCCAAAGGGGAGCGGTCTGAATTGTGGCCCTAAGTAGGCGACAAAAAGGCAATGTCATGTTGCCATGCGATTGCTCTGGGGAACACGAGACGAGTCGAGACGAGACGATAGGACATGTATTTTAATTGAAGCTCATTCGCGTAAACAAACACACGCCCCCCATTTACATTCGCATTCCCATTCACTCACTTCACTTGATTGTGTGCTGTCTGGGCTCGATTCGGTATTTGAATAGAGAATGCTGGGGAAATCAGGATGGTTAAGGAAACAAAGTGTTTGGCATACACAAATTAATTACGTTCAACTAAATATGATACGTAGATGCTACATGTGTTTGCGTAAGCTATAATTGATGTTGGCTAAGCTACAAAGTACTATATTTCGGCAACTGCTTCAAATTCAACTCTAGAATTAAATTATTTATACACAAAATGCATATTTATATGTGAGTTATTAGTTGCTTGTTATTTGTGTTTCAGTAGTGTTCGTGTTTGTGTGGGCGTGTGTGCTGAAACTGGCCAAAAAAAGTCTATCAACTCCAAAGCGAAGCAATGGGGCGTATGAGCAATTATTTGGTTAGCGCAATGTGAAATTGAAATATTTATGCCAAATCTAAATATGTTCGCAAAGGGAATGCAATTGTGTGTGACTAATGCGACTATGTGGATAGAGATGAACTACTACAGTATACTGTCTGCTCTACAAGTCAGGTGCAGAAGATGTGAGAGAAAAGTAGCCCGATAACTAGATGAGCTGGTGACTGGTTTTTTGGACTTTACTTGGTATTTGGTATGCGGTTTAATGGGTAAGCTGAGGCACTGAGACGGGATCCGGGACTCGAGACATACAAAGGAGAGGTGGTGGGAGACCGAACTCAAAACCGAAACTACAACCAAGGATTCTCAAACAAAATTGCGAAAATGTTAAATGAGCGAAAAAATGCAGAGATATATAATAAATATATATATAGAGAGAGAGAGAGAGAAGGAAGGTAGTAGAGAATAACACAAACTACTTGGGCAGCAACTTGGCGACTTGTCGGACCTGAGCTACTCGAAATATCTTGGGTGGGCACCGGCAGGCCGCCGCGCTGTTGCTGCAGCTCCTGTTGTTGCAGCTGCACGCCCAGAATGGGCATGGCCACGGGCGGCGGACGGACCCCTCGTCCCGCCCGTACCGCCGCCGCCTGCGCCACCGATGCCAGACTGCGTTGTTGCTGCTGCTGCAGTTGTAGCTGTTGCTGTTGCTGCTGCTGCTGGTGTTGCTGCTGTTGCTGATGTTGCTGTTGCTGCTGCTGCTGTTGCTGCTGCTGCTCCTGCAGGACCAGTTCCGAGACACTGACAATGGGTATATCCGGCGGCGGGGCCCTGCCCATTTCCCGCTCGGACAGAACCGGAACCGGAAGCGCCGCTCCTCCCGCGACGCCGCCATCCAATTGCTTGCCCTGGACGGACTTGTCGGCGCCTGCTGCAAGATGCCCGGATTTGAGTTCCCCGGCTTGTTTCAGCACGCGGTAAATTTGATCGATTTCGGTTATTTCTTTATTGATTTTTTTTTTTTTTTTTTTTTTTTGGTGCCGAAGTAGGAGAGTTGACAAGTTGGTACGGTACGGTTGATGAAGGGCCAGTTTTTTATTTTTGGTATTCGGATTGGTTCGATTCGATTCGATTTTCAATTGTCGGATTGGGATGATGATGTTGTTGATGCGTTGTTGAAGTGCATTAGTACAAATTGCAAGTGGTTTCGGGGCGATTCGATAATTGGGTATGAGATTGATGATAAGGTGGGTGGGTTTTCTGGGGACACTTGTCATGACATCGAATGTATAATAGAGTGGGAAGTAGGTAGGTACATATAATAATAACGAACAGCTAAGCTCGATGTTACTTTACTCTAGGCCCGATGGTGACCCTTGATCCAGATGTCTAAGATGTGGTACCCAAAACCGATCCAAAAACAGTAGCCAAAAACACTTATGCGGTGTATGAGACGTGAGGCAATTTCTAGTGAACTTTTCGATATTTACTGAATGCTGATTACTGATAACTGAGTACTGAGTATTGCGGCTACAACACATGCTCCACTACTTGAACTGATTTCGTTGAGTGGTCCCCCAGCTCTTTTTTTAGGGTCTTCGATTTGTCCTTTTGTGTGGTCTTAACATATTTGTGTGGGCTGTGATCTTTTAATAGTGTAGGGTGTGTGTGTGTGTATTGTATTTACTTATTGAGCTGGTTGTCATTCGCTGATTATCTCGCTAATTAAGTGGGTCAAAAGCGCAACAGTCAAACACAAAGTACGAAACAAAATCATAAGGTCAAGCGCATTTCAATCGAGTATCTGGCGCATACTATACGAGTATTAATATATATTGATGTTGGATGTACGTTTATGGCACATACTAGTAATCGAATAATACTGTTCATTTGGATACCGATACCTAGTTGCGCAATGCGATGCATGAAGGGCGTCTTTTGACGGAACTTCGCATTTGGCACATTCAACTGACTTGCGCTCGGATTCGTATTCAGATTCAGATTCGTGTTCATATTCAGATTGGGATTCGGATCATCTGCCGCCTGATCTGCTGCAGCTGCAACAAGCGACTCCTGTGGCGAGGCTAGTTGTGTTTAACATAGTTTTGTGGTATTTGTTTTTTTTTTTTTTTTTTTTGGGGGGGAAGGGAAGAGGATTTCATATTGATTTAATCAAATAAATGTCGAGAGTCGGCAATTTGGAATTTGTGTGGTTGATGGATAAACTACATAAATGGCAGAGTCGCACCCGCAGGGAATGCAACAGATTCTATTTTCCTCCTGACAATTGTTTACGGTTCAATGGGCAGGAAATCATCATCATCTACGGAACTCTAAGGATATATTTTACAATGCGTGTTAGGGTGTGCGTGTGTTAGTGTGTGTGTGTGTGTGAGAGAGACCGAAGGAGCCAGGGAAATTGCAAAAGTTCTTGCTCGCTGAGGTCTGGAGAATTGCGACACAAATCACAAGTTGCCACAATCTGAATGCCCCACGATTGCCATAAATCCATTGTGAAATCAACTGATACCAGCCACTCCCACTCGACTCGGCATTCTCTTTGGCCAGCTCGAATCAATAAATGTTTGCCGAGCGGCAAACAAAATGTTGCTGATGCGGTCTGTTCCAAAAAGGAAGGTGAGCCGAGTTGGCCATAAAACGGAATGCATTCGCTTAGGAGTCCTACATATATTCAAGGTGAACACGGGGTGGGGGTTGGAAGGGGAGGTCCTCGTCCTGCAGCAGGACATGCTAATGCTAATGCAAATGCCTCGATGCAAACACAGTTCGGGACGGGCACGGCCAGTCGAACAAATTGTTGGGGAATTTCGCTTGCCAGCACATCGCATTTCGTTATCCCATGCAACTCGTTAGTCGGCCTCAAGCGGTTAGTATGTAGAGTGTGTTTAGCCTGCTTTCTGGTTTCTGTTTTCTGTTTTCTGTTTCTGTTTTCTGGGGCCATGGCTGTGATGCTGGTGCGTGCCAGATACTCACTTTCTTCCTCGATATCAACGCGATTCTCCAGCTCCGAGGTGCTCTTCTGGCGCCGCAGCAGCTTCTGCTTCGGCTGGCAGCGCGGCAGATTGGGGGCACAGTCTCCATGGGCGTTCAGCTTGCAGATGCGGCACCGCAATCCCTGGCGTGTGTGGCCTGCAAAAGCGGAAGGGTTAAGAATGTTTTTCTCTAAGGCGTATTAAGGTGCTGCAGTGGGCGCACTCGACTTAACAATACCCAAAGTACCCATCATTCAAATATTAAAATCGTTACTATTTACTTGCAGCTAATAGAAAAACGACATATTCCATGAAAATAATATATATTTAAATTTTTTTGTTCCTGTTATTAATTTGGATTCCCATATAATTCTGATCAGAATTTATAACGCTGTAATGGAGACATTTTCGACCCTAGACCTTTTTATATCAGTATCTCTGGGCTGCCATAAGAGTCATAGTGCAAAATTTGCAGAGCCCAGTTGTTTTCGAAGAATTATGATTATTTCCCTTTCTTTTATTGCTATTGTTTAAATAATTTTGAATCCATCCCTTGAGATGACTATAAGCTATAGCTGTCATTTACATATGTATAAGTTATAAGGGCTGTTAACACTGCCTTTAATGAGGGTTTTTTGTTATAAATTAGTCAAAATACGACCCACAGATACAAGAATTACTTTTTTATGATACTAACGATCTCAACTATCGATTCTAGGTTGATTTGGAAAAATTTATTTTTTGACCGATTTTCTTTTTTTGCGAAAAATCGGCCAAAAATAAAATTTTTAGCTGTGAATGCCACTCGATTGTAAATTTTATAACGAATTCAACGAGGTATGGCATTCCAAGGTTTAACCATTATTTCCCAGGGTTTTCATCAAAAAACCGAAATAAAAGTTGATTTTTCTTGATCTCCGGATTTCGCCATTTTTCATAGGGCGTTACATTATCATTTGTTGTCAAAAATCGTTTCAAATGAAATTTTTAAACTGTGAATCCCACTCGATTGGAAATTTTTTAACGAATTTAACAAGGTATGACATTCTATCATTTAACCAAAAGTTTCCAAAGTTTTGATAAAACAAATCGAAGCCGATGGATAGACTGGTGGTTTTTAAGGGCACAAAAATATAAAAAGCCTTAAAAATGTTTTGTTGATTATAAATATTTAAAGTTTAGGATATGATTCAATTGGAAAAAGTTCAGATCTCAAAAATGTATTCCCCTTCCATACCCTAGCATATGCTTAGCAAATTTATCTAACCCCTTTAGCCAACGGATTAAAGAACCACTTTGGCCATACCCACCTCTCAGAATCTGGGAGCAGACGTCGCAGGCCGTTATCTTCTTGTAGGTGTACTCCTGCAGGTGGTGGCTGCCATCCAGGTTGGGACGCAGCGGCTCGGAGGCTGTGCTGGAGGCTCCATTGCGCCTGTGAGGGAGACGGATCGAGGGGTTAGTGGGGGACCCGTTAATGGAGTCGCAAGTGTTGCACTTTTCCCCAAAACCCCAAAACCCCAAAGCCAGAGTTGGCCAAATGGCTAAACATATGTTCATAAATCGTATGAACAGACATTGCATTTGAAGGCTGCTCTTATGCTATGTTATGTTTTTATGTTTTTGTATATCTATACGCTATGTGCACAGTGACAACAGCAAACAATGGCGAATGAACAATGGAGTGTGGACAATGGACACTGGACACTGGACATTGGACAACGGACAATACACATTAATCAGACCGATGGTGCGTGTGCCATGTGTGTGTCTATATGTTTGGACAAGAAATACATTAAAAAGAATTGTATTTAAAATAAACAGACACACATTGTGCGGTACTCAACTTAATTGGATTTACAGGAAATTGGTCAATTAATCACTGCCCCGAGTATTTTACAATCTCGTGATCTCGTGCTTTGGCCAGATCTCTCAATCCACGATGCTTATGCAAATTATTGTGTTATTTATATTGTGTACACATCGAATTCATTTCAGCAATTTCGTTTTTCATATTTATACAAAAGCGAGAGAGATACAACCAATTTGCAAGGGCTTCCTTCTCGCTTCCTGCCCCTCTGGCACTTTTGTTTTATTTACCAGAAAAAGGCGAAGGACTTTCGGGGCTGGAAAAGGGAGGAGGGAAAGGGAAAAGGGGGGAAAAAGGGGGAGAAGGACTCACAATGGGGCAATTGTTGAGGCAGAACCAGGCTCAGAGGCCTAGGACTCGACGTTGATTGTTTGTAAGTGGCTTATGCACACAGATGAACACACAGACCGGCTGGCAAATAAATTCAGTTGAGCACATTGGCACAATATTTATAAAGTTGTTTTTTTGCAAATGCGTAAGGTATACAAAAACACCCAGATTTCTGGCACATTTTCATTGACGGGGGGCTGTGGGAGAAAGTGCAACATTGTGATTGGCAGCTACAAATGAACACTGACACGATGACATTGAATATATTCGTAATTCTTAAACTAAATATTGATCAAACTAACTGATAGACTTAGCTAACAAATAATGCCCGAGGTGTTGATTATCTAGGTACAGTAATGTACAATTTACAGGTATGTACAATTGATATGTACAGTATTTAACTGGTTTATACTGGGGTAATTACGATTAATTGATATACTTAAGGGAACTATCTAGTTCGGGGTTTATGGAGTTAATTTTAATTAGTTATACTGGGCTTTTGAGGAGATGTTTTGGGGTGTTTTGGTTTTCGTTTCGGGTGCAGAGCTATGGCAAAATGCTAAAAACAAAACGGAAATTCTTTAGCTATTTGGGCAGCATGAGTAATGGTTTAATTATAATAATTTCCATAACATATTCATTAGTTGGTTTGTGTGCAACTTAAAACTTTTATTGGGCCAACAAAAAATAAATGCACGAAAATGGAAATAAACAAGAAAGGAAAGCTAACTTCGGGCGGAGCCGAAGTTGATATACCCTTGCAGAATACTCTGTAAATTATATTCTCCAAAATTATTCATATGATGCATTCTTAATACTCATAAAAAATCCCAACTTCCTAACTTTAAAAACACCAAAGTTATGACATTTCCAATCGTTCAGTTATATGGCAGCTATAGGATATAGTCGGCCGATCCTTATGAAATTCGGCATGTCGGATTGATTAGCCAAATATAAAACCCATAGAAAATCCCAACTTCCTAACTTTACAAACACCAAAGTTATGGCATTTCCGATCGTTCAGTTATATGGCAGCTATAGGATATAGTCGGCCGATCCCGGCCGTTCCGACTTATATACTGCGTGCAAAGGAAAGAAGGGTGTGTGCAAAGTTTCAATTCGATATCTTTAAAACTGAGAGACTAGTTCGCGTAGAAACAGACAGACGGACAGACAGACGGACAGACAGACGGACAGACGGACAGACGGACAGACGGACAGACGGACAGACGGACATGGCTATATCAACTCAGGAGGTGATCCTGATCAAGAATATATATACTTTATAGGGTCGGAGATGTCTCCTTCACTGCGTTGCACACTTTTGACCAAAATTATAATACCCTCTGCAAGGGTATAAAAAAGAAAACAACCCATAAAAAGCAGTAATGAGTAACTGGCTCGCTTTCTCTCTTTTTGGGGGTCAGTTGAGGTTTAGTTTCGTTCATTCCGTAATTTCAGACGAAACTTTTGCAATATAACACAGCCAAACTTTTAGCTGCGATTTTCTTGTCACGTTTGCAAATATATACGAGTGTTATATATATACGAGTGGTATTTATTCTGTGTATTTGTACCCGTACTTTCCACCCCCAAAAAAAAAAGGGTGGCGAATATTTCGAAATGAAGTTTGAAGAGATAGAGCCCACTTAAGCACCCCCTGCCCATTCACTAAGCCGAGAAGATTTTCCGATTTATCATCATTGGCAGGGCAAGCTGGCGGCACGGAATTAAGTATTGTTGCCACTGGATGTTGCAACGTTTGCAGTTGCATTTGCAGTTCGCAGTTTCTAGGTTGCAGTGTGTGCATGTGGGTGGAAGGCAGGCTGCAGAATTTATAGTTTTGCAATTTTTCGCATATTTTTCAATGCTTCGAATGGCGCCAAGTGGAATTTACTGGGAGCAGCCGGAAACTTGTCCGGAACATATGGAACAGGCAGACGGACAAAACGGACAAACGGACGGACGGACACACATATAGCGACACATTTATCCGTAGTTATCGAACAGGGAAAACTTTGTTACTGGACTTGGAACAGTTCCAGAATACAGAACACAGAATACAGAATCCAGACCATTGTCTTTGTGCCAGTTCGACTAGCTATGGATTTTAATTGCCGCCCAGCATGTGATTGATGACATTTACTGGGCGCAGGTGGCATTTACGGCGCCCGAAGACAAATTAAATGTGTTGGGGATATGTGTGTGTTGAAATTGAATTTTAAATCGATTTACAAACATAGGCAAATAATACAGTGTGTCGTGTGCTGCAGTTGATGCGTTATTTGAAACCAATTAGCCGGGTTGTAAGCGGTGTTTATTTTCTCAGCTAATTCTACATTTTCGTGCAACATTACAGCAACCTTTTCGAATCGATTACACTATATATTCGTCTTTACATATATACGTGGGTTCTATGGGACTATTTAGATGCTGGGTGATGGTTTTTTTTTTGTTGTGGTTCTTTGTGAATTTCGGTTACCTCAAAGTCAATACGGTTGATACAGCGTGGTACATTTGATTTTGTCGGGGTGGTTGGCTGATAGATCGCGATTAAATATCGAGACATTGTTTTATTTTTTTATTTGGTTAGGCAAAGCATATCGAATGCATTTAGTGTTCGAATGGAGATGGTATATACGTAAATTTATATAGAGAAGAAGTGGAGAGATCATTATTATGGCAAGTAGAACTTAGCTTAGCTTAAACTAGAGTGGAGTGCCCGGTTTATGCACCTGAATTTGCATGGAATTATCTTGTAAATTGCGAGTGCAATTGCTGCATTGCATTGCATAATCCGGATTGTGCAAATATTAGGAATTCTTTCAGAGTATTTTATTGCGAATGGGGATGTAGGATGGGAATGTGAAATGGGATGGGATGTCGGTTGGCTGCTCTACCCTTGGATGCCTGAATAATTTTTCGCGTTTTCCACAAGCTTTTAGTCATATTAATGTGCGGGCGGCCCCGTTCCCGATTTGTCCTCCCTCCACTACGGGTGCCTACTGGCATTCGCCGCACTATTTCATTTTGTATCTGGCAGGGGTTTCTTTTCCTCCGCCCACGCCGCAGTTACTAGATACTCTGCTGCGGCTTGTATTCGACTTAATGGGCCTTGCTCTATGCCCGATAATGTTGTGTAACAGCGGGAAAATGGTAGGTGGGTGGGTGGAAAAAAGAAGCTGAAGGCTTACTGGTGCAGTACTCACCTATCTGCTTGTTGTGCTGAACCAGAACCAGCAGGCTTTAGGCTCTTAAATGCTTTCAGCCACTTTGTTTTCATCGATGGCGCTGTGGCAGCGGAGAATTTGCGTTCGTTTCGCGGCGATGTCGGCTCAACTTTGCTCACGAACAGATCCTTCTGCAAAAAGAGGGTGAAAAGAGAAGAGAAAGGGGAGAGAGGGGAGAAAGTGCATTAGCCAAAATGCAATTTTCACTTAAACGTCTCACGTTGCAGTTTAATTACAGGCCATTAACACTCGCAACTCGTTGCATTCCGTTTCAACTTTGTCTGCAACTATTTGCCAACCATTTTGATTTCAGTTTTTGCCACATGCACACATATTACATGCACTGAGAAAAAGGATGTTCTACCCCAATGATACTAGCTTTATGATAAAATGTATTCATATTCAATTTTCATCTCAATAAATGTATGTTTCTCAACAGTCTAATATTACTATTAATATCAAATTTGTATATATTACGAAATACATCCCCTTTACCATGTGTTAATCCGCTTTTCTATTTATTTCAGTGTACATTCCAAAACACTCGTTATGCCGTAATGGAGCCATGATTACAGGGACAGTATTTAGGCAAAGGAATGCTTAAATATTTAACTGATACTATGATGGCCATTGCATTTGTGTCTGCTGCCAGGCGTTGAATAAAGCCATTTTAATTAATAATCAACACTTTGCCGAATGCCACAAAATGTAATTACGCTCAGGACAAACGCACACAGGCTCAAATGCTCGCACTTACACACAAACACGCACACACACACATACACACACAGTCTGTAACAATAATTAAAACCACGTGTGACATGGGGTCACAGTTTAGTAAGCCTAGTTGTCCTTGCCGTCCTTGTTATTATCGTACGTTGTTAGTAGTTTAGTTGTCGGCCTGTTTGGTTGCTATCTGTCATGGGCGTTGCATAATTAGATGAGCTCTGCAATGCATTTAATTTGCTTTTTTACCCCAGAAAATAGAATCTCAATTGTAGTGGGGGACAATTAACAGGTTACTCTGAATGGAAAAAACAAGGGAAAGCATAATATTTATTGTGTCTAGCAATAATATTGGGAAAGCTGCACTTTTATTACCTTTTAAATAGCAATAATAATGGTATAGAATTTCTTGAATATTTCTTGAGGCTGTGGTATCATATATTTTAGTTTAATGGCACAATTAAACCCACAAAATCAAGCTCAAATATTACCAATAAATCTTGGCCCACACATATATTTAATGCATTATGAAGCTAACAGTACATCCATTAATTTTATACAAAATGAGGTTATCGTCAGTGGGTTTCATGTTTTGAAACCATCAATTAATATATGATATTTCTATCAGCAAACTATTTATTTTGGACATAAATTATTAGCCAATTACCTATGAATGTCCTGATTCAAAAAGTTAATCTTGAAGCGCACAATTAATTATGATATAATGTAGCCTTTACTCAAATCAGTTGTTTAAGCAGGTCAGTTTTTAATAAATACAAAAAGGAAGTAAATTAAAGCCTTAATCAAACTGAAAACAAAATGTATCTCAGCACGGTTGGCAGGTGAATCCCTAAAAAATCTTTAATTTTCAGGCTGTCAGTCAATTCCATTAACTTTTTGGTCCTGGATCGTCAATCGCAACATCGCTCTTCGCACCGAATTTCGGGAGACAGAAGTGAAGCGTGATTTTATGATGTCAGAACGTCAAAACAAGTTAAAAATCATTGCACTCAATGCAATTGCGGTATTTATAATGCAGCAGAACGCGTTCGCTGCAGTTCGCATCGCCTCGATGCGCTTCGTTCGATTTTCGGTTTCTGATTTCGGCAGGTTTTCCACTTTGTTTTTCCGCCCCACCCCCCTCAGCTCGTTTTCGACATGTTATTTTTAGCACTTTGACAGCTCGACAGAAGTTGGGGCGAGGCCACACATACGGAAGGTGGTTTACAGTGGGTGGTGAGTGGGTGGTGAGTGGGTGGTTGGGTGGCTGGGTATTTGGGTGGGTGACTAGCTGACAGGCAGGATATTAAGGCTGCCATGCATTCGGCGTCCATATGGCGCAGCGCGATATCAAAATCAATGTTTCGGCGGGACTGACAACAAAGGATGAAATTCACTGGAATGCCATTTAGCGATTGCCAAGAATTCACTGATACAAATTAATTCACTCGCAGCGATTGCAATTAAAAATTAATTTTTTCACACAGCACAAAGCGCCCATATTTAATGAGTAATTAATTTTTACGCAAATGCCCAGCCAAAGGCCGGAAATGGAAATGGAAAAAAACCAGTTAACGATTTCATTTAACGCACTGCCCCCAGAATATGCTGGCCAACGATTAAAGACGACATCTTGGCCAGGCAAAAAAGATAAGCGGATGGCCGATCTTGAGCAGCCCAGTGAGTGCTCTTTTGGTGTCTACCAGCACATTTAAATGGGCAGACTTCGCCCGAGTGGCGACGCCAGCGTGGTTTCGTCTGGCCATAATGGACATGTGCCTGTCATGTTGCCTTTGTCATTGTCGTCGCCATTTGAAGGCGTGTCCCGGGCCATAAATTTATGCATGCAGTGCATAAAATTCAAATTAAAGGAGCTGCAGCAGCAGCAGCACATCCTGCCAGCGACAAGTACACGTTTTGACACTTTACAACAGGCCAAGTCCCATCCAAAAAGGGGACGTCAAAGCCCGCAGCCAGCTGCTAAATGGACAGGGGCGTGGTCGGGGGCGTTTGGCTGGGGAATGGGGATTGAGGGAAATGGGAAATGGGTATGGGATCGTTTGGGGACTTTGTGAGATGTGGGCATCCCCCAGTGCAGTGCAATCAGGAGCAGCTGCTGTTGCTCCTGCACTGCTAGACTGAAATCAAATGTTGCCTTGGCCAGGACTAAAAAGGCTTAAAGTGCTGCGACCCCACCAATCCCCTGCCCTCTCTCTCTCTGTGTGACATAAATTGCGACCTAATTGATTTCACTTGGCTTTTTAAGCTACTTCCCAAAAGTGGAAAGTTGCCGGCTTAGAGCCCGTTTTGTGTTCTTTTCGCTCTGCGCTTTTTTTTCCCAGCCACTTTAATTATCTGCTATCTCCTGTCTCGGAGGAGGAACCCAAAACAAAATTTATGGCTGTCACAATTTTTAATTATGTTGCCCATTGCTAGATTGAAACCACAAAGGTATCGTAAATTGCCAACTCGAGCGGGCGAGCTGGGCAAGCTGGCCAATGGAAATTTCCTCATTAAGGCCGCAACAAAGCGCGCTGGCCAACAAAAGGAGTCCTTTGTGATTCCATGCTTGATCTGCTTAACCACAGCCCGATGCCAGATACGCCCCCACCACTCCTCCCTGTAATAAGCATTTCAATTGGCCCACGATGGCCCATTCGAGCACTGGCAATATGAAAGCATATTTTATTGCCACTTTGATGAGCAGCCATGGACCACTGATGGAGGGGGTGGGGGGGTTGAACATTCAGTTTTAACCTATATTTTTCTAGCCCGCTGCAGTCTTTGTAATCTAGAGTAAGTGTAAATGTGTGCAGGGCGGACATGGATGGGTGGGTGGTCAGAATCAGACCCCCTCCCCCCGCCACTTCATGGCTTTTTCCCAGCTCCAACTAATTGCCGCTGCCGTAGCGTAGAGTCTGGCTAAGGAGTCCAAGAGCTCTGCAAACATGCCTAAGACTATTTAGCCAACAAGGAGCACGGGAATATGGCCAGATAGCAGATAGCTGGATTGCGAGCAGAGGAGGGAAAACGGTATGTACAAACACAACATTTCCGTAAATTACACGCATTTGTCAAAACGAAACAATGCGCAAAGTGTTTATTTGTTTTAGTGAGTGCTTCTGAGCGCAAAAATGACTCAACACAAAAACAGGACGCAAAAGCGGGGATGACAGGGGAGGGGGAGGGGAGGGGAGTGGATAGTTGTTGTAAAACTGTTGCAACTTCTAATGGCTTTGCTTGTTGCTGCTCCTGCTGTGTCATTGTGTCCGCCGTGTGTGTGCAGCTGTGTGATCATTGCAGCGAGCAATGTAGAGCAGCGATTATGCAACCACATCACTCTCACAATGCCTCATCGATCCAATTCAGGACGCACCACACACACACATAAGCACACTCTACACCGGACCTCTTGGCGTATGCGTAATGTGAACGAACACTTTTCAATTTTCATTAACTGCGGCTTCAAATTGCTTGTGTCAACTGCAAACTGCAACTGACATTCACAACAGCTTGGCAAGATTGAGTCCTGAAAGCGACCAAAACGTTACCTGGTCTTTAAGGCGGCTTCAAAAATCTATTGCATACTTATGAGGGTACTCATTAGTTTTGATTTATTATGCAAAAACTGTCTACTTTTATGTAAATGTTATATAAGGGCTGGTAATAAGCGTGTTTAAATCCTGATAGAGAATAATGAATACCTGATACTATCACGGCTGCTTAAATAATTAGCCCAAATGCAATTAATAGTCACAACAATTAAGAATGTTTAAACTCTGAAAGTGAGTAAAGCCAACCTTTTTCTTTAAAGTAATTTAAAATCTGGTTGCATAATTCCGGGGATCACATTGGCTTAAGTTATCCTTCTTAAACAAGTTTATTATCCGTATTAAGTTTTCTAGGTAGATAAGGAGCTTATGGCTATTCGCAAAAATCAAAACTCTTTAAGCTCTCCAACGTTTCCTACGTAAATTAACACAAATTAAGGATAAGAAAAAATACGTTCTGTTGCCTCTGCCAGTTACATGAATCCATACGAAAACAATACACCCTCAAGCCCGGCAGCTGCAGGATATGAAAAGACAGTCAGAATCTGAGGCGGCACAATTTGCATTTGACAATCAACAACAGCCGCAGCAGCAACCATAACAAATGCCACTGCGATTGGGAGAGCAAGGATTGAATGCCGACGGATGACAGAGGCAAGTCAAACCTGTCCGTTTGGGGTTTTCGTCCTGTGGCCGGGTTAACCGCAATTCGTGCCATTCTGCCATACTTTCCCAGCACTTAATAAATATGCAAAAGGCGCATTCCGACTCAGACTGCGAGAGTCTGACTGATGGAAAATTTATTGGCCACAATTAAAATTGCAGAATGCTGTTTGCTTTGGCCACACACCGTG